CGTCGTAACAAGAATCAGGGCGGGAGGCTTTTGGCCGTTTTCGGCCTCGGGGGACCCTCGCCGGGTTTTGGGACCGCCAAAACACGACTCAGGAGGAGAAGCCGGTCCTAGGGAAAGGGTCCCGACAAAAATCAGGACGTCGCATGTTTGGGCTCAATATCGGAGGTTGATAGACCTCCTAGCCTGACACGTCGATTAGCGACTTGGCCGTCTTCGGCTCGCGAGAGAGTGTCGCGGCCGTCATTTTTGCGGGTCCAGGTCCGTCAGTTTTGGTCCTAGGCCGTTTTCACTAAAGAGTGGTTTGCTGAAGTGAGGTTTGTCCACCGCCGACAATAGTTCTGGGTCCCTAGACTACAGGTACTCCCCGGACTACAGGTACCCCCTCTCCGAACTACAGGTGCCCCCTCATTCGGTCTACAGGTACCCCCCCCCCCCGACTGCAGGTACCCTCTTCCGGACTACAGGTGCCCCTCCCGGACAACAGGTACCCCCACAGAACTGCATCCACGCGTGCGGAGACGCGTGAACACGCGCCCTTCCCCAGCCTGCAGGCACCCCCCCTGGACTACAGGCACCCTTCCCCCGCACTACAAGTACCCCACCCTGGACTATTGGTATCCTCCTGGGCTACAGGTACCCCTCCCCAGGACTACAAGTATTCTCTTCAGACTACAGGTACCCCCAGAATTATTGAGGGACACAGTGATTCTGGGGCTCCCAGCTCCCAGTCTATTTCAAGCGCCCTCCTACTTCAAGAACCGATCTATGCTTCCGTTGTGCCGTGTTCTTCTCTGAGAGGGCCTGAACCCAACCTACTTTACCCGCCTTCCTGGTCAGTGTGTTTACCTGCTTCTTCCGACCGACGTGTCCGCATGCAGATTCGTAGGCTCTGGAGGCTCGCGCGGCTCTCCTGGGTCGGCGCGCTCTGCGTCACCCAGACTGTGTGGCCGAAAAGTGCCCAAGCCCCCCACACATCCCGAGAAACGCAGCTCAGGGACAACGAATGGAGGCATGACTCGACCTAAACGGTGTTCCAGCGATCTCGTGGACCTGTTTCGTGTTGATGCCGTTTTGCAGTAAGAACGGAAAGGAGACAACACGAGGGGAAAACGAAGACAGCACGAGGGGAAGACGAAAGCACAACGACAGCGGAAAGCACCGTTCAGGTCGAGTCCTGATCGGACGGGACAGGCACAAGGGGGGGGCATGCATTGACCCACACCCGCCCATGGATCGCCGCCGATAGGGGCCCGATCGATTGCCCCAACCCGCCCAGGAACGCTCGGCTTCGCTGTCGGGGGCCTGTCGTGGATCTATCGGCGGTGTAGCGTCGAGTCCGGGTCGACGTTTCCCCCCCCGATAGCCCCAACCCGCCCAGGAACGTTCGGCTTCGCTGTCGGGGTCCTGTCGTCGATCTATCGGCGGTGTAGCGTCGATTCCAGGTCGACGTTCCCCGCCCCCCCCCGATCACTGCCCCTCTGCAGCTCTGCCGCCCACCTCTTCGCTCACGCTCGGAAGCGGCGCGGGCAGCAGTGCACCACCGCCGTTCCTGGCAGGTGCGGTCCAGGGCCCCGGGCTGCCGTGCGCAGCCTGCTGGCCTCGACGAGGGAGGATCCACACACCTGCTCGGTGGCGAGCCAGGGAGGGGAGTAAGAAGGTGGAGGCCTTCTCAGAGAAGGCGGCGGGGCTCCTCAGAAGCCCTCGCGCCGTCTGGCAAGTTGTCTGTGTCTTCGGAGGAGGCCTGGGACACTTCCCGGAGGGCCCGAGGCCGTCCGAGCCTCGTGAAAAGGCCCTCCACTTCTCACTTCCCCCACGGGATCGCCGCCGAATCTCCGCTGTCTCGGGCTCCAGGACGACCCTGGCCATGGATGGTGTGTGTGTGTGTGTGTTCCTCCTTCATCTTTCCGTGGCCTTGATGGAGACCCTCCTGTAGCAGAGTGAGCACTGCCATGTTCAAAGCAGTACATGTGCTCTCCGGACTCCAGCACGCTTGGTCCCCTCGCGTGGACTCTTGCACGCTGGCTCTGCCTGTCCGCCTCCTCCCGCGGCGCCAGATCCCCTGGCGCGACGAGAGGAAGCCAGAGTCGCTGCTGCTCCGGAAGGAGCCCCAGCCAACGCCCCCACTCAGGGCACAATCGCCCCGCGCGAGGAGGAGGAGGAGGAGGAGGAGGAGGAGGAGGAGGAGGAGGAGGAAGCCAAAACAAGGCCGAGGATGGGGAGGAAGAGGAGCAGACAGTAAATTGGAGGGGGGGATGAGGAGGAGGGAAGAAGAGCCCCCCGATGACGTGACTGTTTCGATCCATAGGTTCCAGGGTCTGTTCTTGACCCCCTGATCGTGACAGGAATTGCTGTGTCCCGCTTGCTCCAGGTCCAGGAACAACAAACAAAAACACGGATGCCAAAATCCCGGGGAACATGCTGGCAAGAAGCAACATCAGGCGCAGAGGAGACGGCACAACGAACATCTTTGCGCGTGACGTCTCGCTACCACGAGAGAGAGGCGTCCCGTGGACAACGGGTCCCGGACTTCGTGGGCCCCGGAAACGGCAGGGCCGTTTTTTCACCGTGTCCGAAAAAGTGTCCCTTGAAAATGGAAACGGCAAAGAAACGGCGACCGGCAGCGGCAGCACAAGAACGGTTCCAGGATTGGAACCCGAGCGGGAACCCTTCAAAAAACGGCGACGGAACCGGCAACAGAAACGGCGTCGGAACCGGCAACATCGGTCCAGAACTTACCGCACCCCCCATGCCGCCGCCAGCAGACGACGACGACGCCGACGACGACGACGATGACGACGACGACGAGGACTATGACTTGGACGAGGCCGTACCCGGCGGCAAACAACTACGGCAAGACGACTACGGCAAACGATTACTTGCTGTTTCCAGGGCCCACTTAAGGTCCCGGATCCCAGACCCGGGGCGTCCCACACACAGAGCCAGCGTGCCATCCCGAGCCGTTGGGTCGACGGCCCCGTGACCCTGGAGGGGCCCGGAGGGGCGTGGCAACGGCGGCACGGATGCAGGCCGCTGTCCTACCTTTATGATGCTCCAACCTACTACATCCGTGGCCCCAGTCCTCCACTCTTTTGACACTTTTCCAGGTGCTCGAAATTATTTATGGGATGTGGTCCTAAAGTACGATGGGAGCAACATAATCCTACGTGGCCCGCTCTCGTTGTGCTGACCGTTGGGGGGGCCGCGGCCAAAACGGGCAGAGCCGGACGGGACCAGGACGAGGATAGATGCGTTCCAGAGCGTACTCGAACGCGCGCTCGGAGCGGTGCAGAACGCTCTCGCGAGTCATCTTCACCCGATTTCATCCTCGCCCTGGCTTCAGCGTAACCACGACTGCAATCGGCAGAGCAGCCGTATCCGCACGTTGTTCGCGCTTGTGGCAATGGAGGAGTTCATCGTCTAGTAGACGCCGAGCAGTTTCAGGCACGCCTGAGTGCCCCCTTCGCCGTCAACGGGCCCTAGGGCGTACGGTTTTTGCATTTGCCTTTGGCCTTCTTTGTGCTGAGTCTGGGTTGCCTCTCCTTTCCCGTCTAGGGGATCGCCCCCCTCCACGGGCAGACTTGTCATGTTTCGCCGCGGCGGGCGCATGTGCTCGATGTTCCACGGGAGGGCCCTCGATAGCGGAGGGTCGCTCGAGACTGTCGGGCGGGTGGTAATGGGGGCTGACCTACATGGGGGATGAATAGGACCAATTGTGGACCCTGCTGGATCCACAAGGGGCCTTAGAGGGCCCCTTTAGGACCCTTGTCTTCATCGCCCATTTACGTCCCCCCCCTTTTACCACCCGCCCGATTGGCTGCTCCATGCGGAAGTCGGAACCATGGCGTCACAGCCCCGCTGTCGGACCCCGCCCCCTGGGGGAGGGGCGGCCGCGAGGCGCCGGCGAGCCATCGCTGCCCCGAGGGCGCCCCCCGGGGCATCGGGGGACGGGGGCGACGGGGAGAGGGGGAAGAAGGGGAGGAGGAGGCAGGGGGAGGACAGGACCCATCTTGGGTGAAAGTGCCAAATTGGGTTTTCGGGGCGCATGCGGACGGTCCCACTGGGATCTTCGGTGGAGCGCCTAATGGGGCCACGAAACGCTGTACTGGGTGGGTGAGAATACCAAATTGGGTGTGCGGAACGCATGCGGACGGTCCCACGGGGGGCTTCGGTGGAGCTTCCGATGGGGCCACGAAACGCTGTGCTGGGTGGGTGAGAATGCCAAATTGGGTTTCCAGGGCGCATGCGGACGGTCCCACTGGGGGCTTCGGTGGAGCTTCCGATGGGGCCACGAAACACTGTACTGGATGGGTGAGAATGCCAAATTGGGTGTGTGGAGCGCATGTGGGCGGTCCCACTTGGGGCTAAGACAGTTTCGGATTTCGGCATTCCAGCCTGAGTCATGCGCCTTCCTATTTTCAGGAGTCGGTTTGGGTTGCCTTTTGCCTCTCTCCTTTTTCTCAGCGGTGCGAGCCGAAGGCCATTATACTTTCAACGCGTTCTTACTTCATACTTCATGCTCCTACAGATTATTTACGAACAGCGGGTAATGTGTGATGATGATCAGGAGTTTTGCCACTGGCGGACCGTCAGGGTGCAGCGCCATGGTCGGTTAGTCGTGAATTGTGCTTTGGGTCTGATCGTGAACGTCGTTGTCGTCATTGAGATTCTGCCACCATTCTCTCACAATCTTGCTCCCAGTGGCAGAAAACTATGTTGTGAAATGTTTACCCTGAGTCGGGCTGGAGTAGACGGTGTCAGAGGATCGCGCTTCGGCGATGCATCGGCGATGCGATTCGATGTGGAGCCCGATGTTAATCACACCGACGGCGCCGATGCATCGCGGGTCGTGCATCAGCGACGCATCCGCAAATTCAGTGGCGCGATCCACCGACTATTCGGTTCCCAGGTGGGAGGCCTCCAGAGGGGAGGGAGATGAGGAGATGCAGTGGAGACCCATGCCAAGAAGCACCCTGATTGCCTCCAAGGTTCCGATGGTTTTGCTATGGAAAGCGTGACGTCCCCACCAAAAAGCAATGGGAATTCCTGGGGTCGCAGGATTGGGTTTCTTGTAGAAGGTTCCTTGTGGACTGGCCTCCACTGTAGAGGGAGGAGGGTTCTGAGGGACGACGGAGGGGGGCAGCCCTCCTCCCCCCTCCCCCTCTCTCTGCTCCCCCTGCCCCCAAATACATGTGTCTGCAGAGAGGTCTCCCGAGACGAGATGCCCAGGGCCCTCCCGCCTTCAGGAGCGAGACACGCACACAAACACACACACACACACACACCACACACACACACACACACACACACACACACACACACACACACACACACACACACACACACACACACACACACACACACACGCATGTGTGCACGATTTTTCGTGGGTGCCGTATCCGAGGTGCCCTGGCGGGATGTCGCCCCCAGTCAGGGACTTGCAAAAAAAAGCGTCCTGATCGGCACCGCACCCCGCCAGTTTTTCGCAACTGCCCGTACGCCTGCTGCTGGCAAGGCGTTTTCGCGATCCTGGCTGTTCCGCTTCAGGGCCGTCTTGGGCCATCTTGGAGCCACCTTGAGGTCTTCAAAGCCCATCGGAGGCATGTTCCGTTTTACCGTATTGCCGGTTTTTTCGTGGGTGTCGAGAGTAACGTTTGTGAAACGAGGTTGACCTCGCGAACGGGGGGGCCGTACTCAGGTCCATGGCCGGGCTCGTGCTTCTCTTGTGTGGGCTCCCGACGTTTGCCTGCCTGCCAGGAGCCGCGCGTGATGACTTACAAGCGGTACTCGGGCGCCAACGCGATCCGACAGGCCTTCCAAGCCCCTCGCGCGCGAGCACTTCTGCGCTTTTCTGCGGGCGCCCCCCAGGCGTAGTTGCCAGGCACGGGGGGGGACGCCTACTCAGCAGTGTCCGGCCACGCGCAGAGGGGTGGAGGGAGGAGGCCTTCTTCGAAGAACCCCTGCTTCTTAGAAGGCGCGGGCCTCATCTTCAGATGTGAGGCCGGCGCCTTCTAAGAAGCAGCCTCCTAAGAAGCCCTCCCCCCTCCCTCCACCCCCCTGTGCGCGCCGCCAAAGTGTCCGTGTCGACCCGCTCGTGCCGATGCGATGTCGACGCCAGCCCGCCCGCTGCGCTTCGCTTCCCGCGGTCCGCTGCGGCCGCCGACGCTTGCACGGCGCTGTGGAGCCTCCAGGCGCGGCCGCTCTGGTGCGAGGTCGTCTCCAAGCCTTTCGCGGCCCAATTCTGATGGGCCTGTTTTCCACCACCGCCACCACAAGTTGGAGGGGGAGGGGGTCCTCCTCCTCCTCCTTGTCCTCCTCCTCCGCCTCCTCCTCCTCCTCCCTCCTCGTCCTCCTCCTTCCCCCCTCCAGCTTATGGTGGTGGTGGTGGTGGAAAACAGGCCCATCAATTCGATACACGATCCGAGCCGGTGCGTTTTGCCGATTCGATGTCGATTGATCCCCCAGAGTCAAGCAGTGGCGAAGCGTCCTCGCTCGCCTATTGTCCTACCAAAGAATGTTCTAAGAACCTTGTGTGGTTTCTACGAAATGCTCTTAGAACATCTATGGTTGAGACTTGTTTTAAAGCATCGCGCCAATGTTCTAAGAATTCTGTTTTTGTCCTTAGAACATTTTTGGGTTCGGAGAACACCTCGTGGTAGGCCCACAGAGATGCCGGGACGGTTGGTCCCTGCTCGATGTGGGGACTCGGCTCCAGGACGCCCTGACGGGCCAGAGCAGGTGCGGTTGGTGGGCCCCGCCGCATCGCCAGTGCATTTGCGGAGATTCGCAGCGCAGGGCTGGACCTAAAAAGCTGTTTTTGCGATTTCGTGGGCCGTTTTCGTTTCGGCTTCGTGTTGCGGTAAAGGCGGATTCAAGGCAAAACGACGGACAACGACAGCAAAACGAAGACAATCAACGCCGTTTGGGTTCAGCCCTGTCGCAGCTCAGCTTCCTGCACCCAGGCGTCGCTGGCTGATGGCCCGGGGTACGTCGGCGAGGCCTTGCGGGGCGATCTGCCGGCTCCTTCTGCCCTTCTGCCCTGGCTCTTCTTAAGTCGGGCCTGTCCCTCTGCAGGGGGATCTTCAAAACTAGTCAAAGAATAGTAGGGGGGCTGTGTTTTTTTTTTTTTGTATAATTTTTGAATAGTTTGGAGTATTTTTTGTTCTTCGTCGGCAATCCTCCTGTAGGGGGACAGGCCCGGCCCAAGCATCATGCGTCGGCGATGCGTTGCGGTGCGGTCTGCCCTGGCCCGGCAGGCGGAGGGGAAAAAAAAAGGAGCGCGGCTCGGCGGGCGGCGCCCCGGGGGGTGCGGTGGAGGCCCGTGCCAAGAGGCACCCTGCCTGCCGCCAGGTCGAGCAGGGGCGAAGCGTCCTGGCTCGCCTATACTTGGCATCGCTCGGACGTGTGCATTTTTCCTTCGGCGAGGATTATCGAGGAGCATCCCTGATCATTTGGCGGGAAAGCCACGCACGAAACAAACAAAAAAAACAGGAAATGGACGTCCGAGCGATGGCCAGTATAGCCCTACCGAAGAATGCTCTCAGAACCTTTTGTGGCTTCCACGGGATGTTCTTGGAACAGTTTTGGCGGAGCCTGTCTTGCTTTGGCACATCGGGCTTATGTTCTAAGAACGTGGTTTTCGTTCTTAGAACATCTTGCGGGTTCTCAGAGCATGTCGTGGTATGACTGTAGGAATTCCGGGACGGTCGGTCCCTGCTCAACCAGGGTGCCCTGGGTTTTTTGGGTTCCGCTGTTGCGGTGGACAGCGCGACGCTCCCACACCAAGACTCAACTGACGTCCTGGGGTCTCAGGGTTGCGTCTCTTGTGGCAGGCTTCTTGTGGACTGGCCTCCAATGTCGGTGTTTAAGGATGCAATGTCCGAGAGGTTGAATTCAGCATCGGCGTTGCCACAGTCCGCCACTATTTCCCGCCTCATTAGGTGCAATCCTGGTTGATTCGCCGTAAGCCTGTGCTTATTTGGGGCTAATCCAGCTCATTAACAGGTGTGTTGAACAAAGTGTGATAAAAACATGTGTGATAAAACAGTTGTGATACCAAGAAGAAACAAGTGTGGTAAAAAAACATCAACCTGCTTGTGTGATCACAGCTTGTTTCTGTTTTACCACAGCTATTTATCCAACGTTTTTTTTTTTATCACACTTGTTTTTAACACGTGCTTTTTTGTCACACTTGTTCGGAGCATCTGAATCTGGCTCCTGCACCGTTCTCACGAAGGCCTCCGGCAGTTGCTCCCGGTGTCCAGGCGGGCCCAGGATGAGGACCTGGGGCGCTCGGAAGCGGTTGTGGCGCCCGACAGATAACCCTCCGGACCCGCCAGTTCTCAGAGATTCCCGCTGTGTGATCCAGGGTCCCACCCCCCCGCCCCTCCAATGCTGCTGTGAAGTCGGGCCTGTCCCTCTACAGGAGGAAGATTTAAAAAATAGTTCAAAAATAGTATGGGTACGATGATTTGACTATTTGTGACTATGATTGAATACTTTTTGAGACTATTCAATATTTTTCTTCTAAAATCCGCCTGTAGGGGGACATGCCCGACCGAATGCTACTGGGATCGCTGTGGTCGTGGCCACGTTGGTGTGACGTAGTGGAGGGTGGACGTCGTCGTCGTCGTCGTCGTCGTCGTCGCCAGCGTCGTCGTCGTCGTCGTTGACGTCGTCTTCCGTCGGCGTCGTCGGCGTCGGCGTGTGGGTCGGTATCGGCTTCGGCATCCTGGGCGGCGGCGGCGGCGTCATCGTCGTTGTTGTCGTTGTCGTCGACGCCGTCGTCGCCCCCCCTCATCCCATCTGGGGGGGGGGCTGTGGAACCCGGGGGTACATCCGATCTGGGGGGGGTGGTCTGTGAACCCTCGACCCTGGATCATGCATTCTCATCCGAGTCTGGCCCCATCCTGGCGTGGCCTCAGGATCAGCATCGTCAGACCTATCCCCCTCGCCTCGGGGAAGGCCTTGACACCGCTGTCCGACCCATCCCCACAACTGTGGGGTACAGTCAGCGCGCACAGTAAGGATGGGCAACCGTCCCAAGGGGTACCCTTGCATCCTTGCCCCTTCGGCCCATCCTTGGCGACTGTCGCTGGCCAGCCTCGCTCGAAGAACGTTCCCATTGGCCTCTCCATGGCCCTCGCATCCTTACCGCGCATCCTCATGGTTCGATTATGTCGGGCATGTCCCTCTACAGGAGGGCAATCCAAAAATAATCAGAGCGTAGCCTGGGGACCATCTGTCTATAGTTTACTACTAGTTGGGAGTCTGTTTTGGCCATGTTGCATCTTTCCTCCAGAGTCCCCCGGTAGGAGGACATGCCCGACGAGCAGTCTTCGGCTTGCGCCCAGCGTGGTGGCGTGCGAGTCGTCAGGCGACGCGGACTAACCTCACTTCAGCATGCTGATGTCCCCCACCGCCGTCAGACTTCATCCATTTCGTGGAGAAGAGCTGTTGAGCTCAACAAAACATGCCCGACCTGATGGTACGAGCTGGCTGCCAGCTTGGCGCCGCGGAGGGGCCCAGGCCCCCCGGGGGCCGGGGATGCAGGCCGAGCGCTGCGGAGCCGCAGTGCCGTGGCCGCGTGAGGCCCCAGGAGGGGGCGTCCGCGCGGCCCGCTCCCGGCCTCGCGTCGGGCACGTCCCTCCACAGGAGGACTCTTCCAAAAGAGTCGAACAAGGGAGCCTGGGGAGGATCTTTCCCCAATCAGAGCTCGCCTCTGTAGGGGTCCTAGCGGATTCATATGGTTGGGTTCGGTTTGCCGCCGATTTTCGCCCAGTAGCCCCATAGCCCTATGGCCCTACGACTCTATAGCCCTATAGCTCAATAGCCCTATAGCCCTACAGACCCCTAGCCCTATAGCCCTGATTGGGGCTTTTCTCCGGTATCATTGATGTTCTGTCTTGAGCTGCTTTCGGATTCTCTTTTGATTATTTTGTCCAGGATTCCCCCGGATTTCCTAGGCCCTAGGATTTCCCAGGATTGCCTAGGCATCCTAGGATTCACTATGATTTCCTGTGATTTTCTAGGATTCCCTAATTTGTTTGAAGTTTCCTAGGTTTCCTAGGATTCCATAGGATGTCCTATTTTTTTACATATTGAAAGAATAATAAGCATAATTTCCTAGGATGTCCTAGGATTTTCTAGGAGTTCATAGGATTTCCTAGGATTCCTTAGGATGTTCTAGGATGTCCGAGTATTTCCCTGTGGTTTTTTTTAATCCAATGATTTCGTAGATTTCCTTGGGTTTCCCACGATTTCAATGTTTTCTCCAGATTTTTAGGATGTCCTAGTATTGCCTCGGGTTTCCTAGGATTTCCGAAATTCCCCAGGATTCCCTTGGATTTCTTAGGATTTCCTAGGAGTTCGAATGATTCCTAGGATTTTGTTGATTTCCTAGGATTGCCTAGGTTTCCTAGGATTTCCGAGTCCGAGGAAGGTCCCCCTGCGACAGTTTCCAGAGGTACCTCTGGGAAAGTTTCCAGAGGTACCTCTGGGGAAGGTACTTCTGGGAATGTTTCCAGAGGTACATATGGGAAGGTTTCCAGAGGTACATATGGGAAGGTTTCCAGAGGCACCTCTGGGGAAAGTACCTCTGGGAAAGTTTCCAGAGGTACCCCTAGACCCTTTCCCAGAGGCACCTCCGGGAAAGTTTCCAGAGGTACCTCTGGAACCTTTCCCAGAGGTGCCCCTGAAACCTTTCCCAGGCTGAAGGCGGAGGCGGCGGCGCAGGCGCAAGCGCAGGCGCAGGCGCAAGCGCAGGCGCAGCCGCAGGCGCAGGCGCAGGCGCAGGCGCAGGCGCAGGCGCAGGCGCAGGCGCAGGCGAGGTACCTTTCCCTAGAAGTGTTCGTGTATGTCTGTGTGTTTCCGTGTGTTTTAGCGTGTTTTCGTGTGTTTCCGTGTGTTTCCGTGGTGTCCGTGTGTGTCCGCGTGTTTTCTCGTGATTCTGTGTGTTTCCGTGTGTTGCCGTGTGTGTCCGCGTGTTTCCGTATGTTTCCGTGTTGTCCCGTGTATTTCCGTATGTCTTTATATGTTTCCGCGTGATTCCGTGTGTTTATTCGTGTATTTCCATATGTTTCCATATGTTTCCGTGCGTTTCCGTGTGTTTCCGTGTGTTTCCGCGTGTTTCCGCGTGATTCCGTGTGTCTTCGTGTGTTCCCCACAGGTGCCGTTGGAAATTTTCCCCGAGGTCCCAGAGGTAAATGTTTAAGGGACCCAGTCCCATCCTTAGGATTCCAATGATTTCTGAGGAGTTCCTAATATGTCGTATGATTCCTGTGATTCCTTAGGATTCCTAAGATTTCCTGAGATTTCTTAGAAGTCATAGGGTTCCTTAGGATGTCCTATGATTTTTAGGATCCCATAGTATTTCTTAGGATCCTTAGGATTTCCCAGGTGAGATTCCTACGGTTTCCTAGGATGTCCTAGGATTCATATGATTTCCCAAGATTTCCCAGGATTCCTAGGATTCCCCAGGATTTCTACGATTTCCTACTATTTCATAGGATCCTGAGCATTTCCTAATATGTGTGTTTTAGGTTCCCAAGATTTCCTAGGATTTCCTAGCTAGGATTCTTAGGATGTCCTAGGGTTTCTTGAGATTCCTATGATATCCTAGGATTTCCTAGGATTCCTATGACTTCCTAGGTTCCTAGGATTTCCTAGGATTCTTGGGATTTCCTCGGATGTCCCTGGATTTCCTAGGAAATCTTAGGAATCCTAGTGTTTCCCGACGGCAAGTCCTGTCGTCGTCGTCCTCGTCGTCGTCGGTGTTGTCGGCGGCGGCGGCGGGAAAATAATTAGTTTCCGTTGTTGTCGGGGCCCCAGTCCGTTAATAAGGCCGCCAGAAAAATTGCAGTTTCCCACAATCGCGTTTTTTGTTCTCTCTCTCTCTCTCTCCCTCTCCCTCTCTTTCTCTTGCTCTCTCTCTCTCTCTCTCTCTCTCTCTCTCTCTCTCTCTCTATATATATGTGTATATATAATCATGGCGGTTAATTCCATTGGACCCGACTGGATTCAACCTTGAAGAATCGGGGCCGCGATGTCCAAAACCGTTGCGCGCGCCGACGCCGCACGAACCTACCGTAACGCCCCCCCCCACCCCGAAATTCGGGTCTTCGGGTTGGGTTGGGGTAGTTTGCTAGGCAGGGCTCGAGCTGAACGGTGTTTTGGCGATCTCGTGGACCGTTTCTATTTTTGACCTCGTCTCGCAGCAGAGGCAGGCCGAAGACAGAGCGAAGGAGCAACACGAGCACAAAACGAGAACCGACACACGAGAACAAAGAAAAAAGACACACGGTGTACCCAAAACGGGTGCAACGAGAACGAGAACAAACACGATGACCAACAAATACACGGTGTACGCAGCTCGAGCCCTGCCGGTAGGCGGTCAGGGACGTGCCCCCTCCTGTCGGGGGAGCGTAAGACCCGGGTTTGCCGGGACTCGGGTTCGCCATCGTTTTTTGACGACCGCGACTCGGATTTTGACGAGGAGGAGTTTTGTGGGATGTCTGCAGCGGGAGGCCTCGTCAAAATGCAGGCTCGGCCTCGTCATTTTTTTGACGACCTCGTGGGGGATTTCCGAGTCCCCCGTACCCGGGTCTTACGTCTCCCCGATCCTGGGGGGCCCCGTGCGGCCCCCCCGTACGTCCTCCTCTGTCAGCACGTGGTTCTCCCTTCGGCACGCGCGCGGCAGGCCGTTCTCGCAGGCCCGGGCTCGGCGGCAGGGCCGCCGCGGCTCCATCCTGCCCCCCCCCCCGCCCCCCTGCGGGCGACGCGAATCCGGAGGAGGGGAAAGCGCACACACAGACACAGTGAATCGTCGAAACCCCAGAAAATAATATGGGAAAGTATGGGAAGTGGGGGGGAAGACCAAAACCCAGAAAATATGGGAACATCTGGGGAATCCTATGACTTTTGTGTCTATTTAGTTGTGCGCCCCAGGGCCCCTTCAGCGAAGCCCGCTTGGGGCGAGCCAGCTCGGGGCCACTGGGGACTTCACTTGGTGGGCCCCCCACTTGGCATCCTCTCGAGTGACGCTGGCAAGCGCGAGAATCGGGCCGGACGAAAGGGGGGGATTGGGAAAGGAGGGGTTTCGAAATCTGCTGCATGCAGCTGGTGTCGGCCCCACCGAGGGGCCCATCCCTCGATACATGGGCGCCTCCCGGCGCCGGGAGGCGCCGGGAAAGTCAGCTGCGTGAGCTGAGTCTCGACCCCTCCCCTGTGCTAGCCCCCCCCTTTCGCCCAGCTCGAGGGAACGTCTCTCCGCGCGATGCTCGCGACGCGCGCGGCGTCCTCTGGGGGGGGGGCAGCCTCTGGTGGGCCTCCGCTCGGAGCAGGCCCAGCCGGAGCCAGGGGCCTCTCCACCCGGTGGGCCTCCGCCCGGAGACTCGGTCTCCCCGCGCTGCCTCGCCCCGCTGCCTCCCGGCCAGCCACTTTGGCCCTGTCGATTCGAGTCGACTCGGTCTCGAGGATTCGAGAGGGGAGTTTGGGCTTAAGTCGGGCCTGTCCCTCCTACAGGAGGAATATTCAAAGATCGTTTTTTGTTTAAACAGTCTGAGGACTATCTTTGATTATTGTTTGACAAGTTTGGAGTATGTTTTGGGTATTTCCCTACCTAGGCTCTGCCTGGAAGGGTTCTTACTCTCTTTGCTTAAAGGGGTCGGCAGTGTAAATCGCCCCGGGCGGTTCCCCCAGGATCCGCCCCGCGGTTCCCTCAGTTGCGCCCCCTGGATTCACCCAGCTTAGCTTAGATTAGCTAAGCTTAGCTTAGCTTAGCTTAGCTTAGCTTAGCTTATCTCATCTTAGCTTAGCTTAGCTTTGACTAGCCTAGCTTAGCTTAGCTTAACTGTAGTTTAGCTTTAGCTTAGCTGTACCTTAGCTTTAGACTAGCTTTAGTTTAGCTTTAGCTTAGCTGTACCTTAGCTTTAGACTAGCTTTAGCTTAGATTTAGCTTAGCTTTAGCTTAGCTTTAGCTTAGCTTTAGCTTAGCTTTAGCTTAGCTTTAGCTTAGCTTTAGCTTAGCTTTAGCTTAGTTTTACTGTTACTACTAATGCTGCTTTCCAAGGGGCTCCAGCTCCAGCTGAAAATCCACCCTGTAGGGGGACTCGCCCGACTATGTTTAGGAGCAGACGCACAGAACCGTCGATGCCCAGGAAGATGTGGGAAACCGTGGGAAGCGGAGGGGTGGACGAAGAGTGCCATAGTATACGTAAGAATAGGGTTGAGTCGGGCCTGTCCCTCGACAGGAGGAATCTTCAAAAGTAATCAGAAAATAGTCAGGGGACGATTGTTTGACTATTTTGGAGCATTTTTGGAGCACTTTTGGGGATGTTTTGTTTTTCGCCCAGAATCACCCTGTAGGGGGGCAGGCCCGACCTGAGAATAGGGGGAATCCTGGAGCTCGGGTCTATTGAGTTGTGCCTCCCTGGGCCACTTCACATTTTGGCCCCGTGGATTCGAATCGATTCGGTCTCGACGATGTCGATTCGATTCGACCTCGGATCCCAATTTTGGCTTGGATTTTCTCGTGTAGGCCTCGACCCAGACCCCTAGAAGTTGATTTGGGTGCCTCCGATCTGCCTGCCGATTTCTGCCGATTCGATGTGCCTTCGATGGCCGATCCGACTGTCCGACTCTATGCTGGGTCATGTTGCCCTCGTCCCCATCCCCATCTCCTGGCTCGACCTCTCACCCGAAGCAGGGATGTATCAAATGATTTTTCCCTGGGGCACCGATCTCCGGGGACCTCGGAGGGCGGTGGACATGGATGTCGTGGCCCCCCCACCAGGGCCAGCACACATCCACATCCGCCGCCCCACAGGGCTTCGGGACACCAGCCCTCCGGGCGGTGGGCATGAACGAGTCCCCGCCCCGCAGCTCGAGCCTCTGGAGGCGACGCCCTCCTCCTCGACTCTCCGCCCCTGCGGCCCCCTTCGACAACAAAAATCCACCCCATCCAGGCCTCCTGCCTCTTCTCCTCGGGACGACTGACATGGGTACGGAAAGAATGGGTACGATGCCCAACAGCAGTTCGTGTTCATTTTGAACAGGTCTCGCGGTCCGCGCCGCCGCGGCCTGTGTCCATTTGAGACAGAAGGCCGCCTGCCCAACGGCGGCCGCCGTTGGTCTGGGACAACATTTGTTCTTGGGCGTTGTACCCACTTTGTCCGTACCCATTTCCGGCGTCCAAATCTCCCCTCCGCCCTCTCCTCCCGCCCCAGAGGTGCTCCAGCGCATCACCGACGTGTTCAAGGTGTTCACCTACCACACGACGGTGCGCCTCGGGGGGGGCAGGCGCCCTCTCGGGGGGCCTGCCTCCCGTCCATCCCTTGCCCTCCTGCTCTCTCTCTCTCTCTCACTCTCTCTCTCTCCCCGTCTTGTTCCTTCTCTCGCTCTCTCGTTCTCCCCCCTCTCTCTCCCTCCCTCTCTCTCTCCCTCGCTCTCCTGCCCTCCCTCCCTCCTCTCCCCCCTCCTCGTTCCCCTCCCCCCCCCTCTGCGGAGGGGGAGGCGCTCTCGGGAAGGCCGGGGCCCCCGGTCCCCGGGTTTTGCCTCGTAGCTTTGGAGAGGACGCCCCGGGCCCTTCGCCTCGGGCTTCCGCTTCGCTCTCGGCAGCTCGGCGACGCGCAGAGAGCGACGCACGAGGAAGAGGGGGAGGAGGAGGAGGAGGAGGAGGAGGAGGAGGAGGAGGAGGAGGAGGAGGAGGAGGAGGAGGAGGAGGGAGAGGAGGAGGAGGAGGGAGAGGAGGAGGAGGAGGAAGAGGAGGAGGAGGAGGAGGAGGAGGAGGAGAGAAAGCGACGCATGAGGAGGAGGAGGAGGAGGAGGAGGAGGAGGAGGAGGAGGAGGAGGAGGGCGGACGCTACAGCCACGACGCTCGAGCCGCTCGACGCGACAGCCTAGCGCAGAAAAGAGGAGGAGGGAGGAGGAGAGTGAAGGCAGGGCGGAGATGGGTGGAGGATGAGAAGAAAGATGAGGAGCAGGATGAAGGCGCGGAGAGGGAGGAGAAGGGAACGCAGGATAGCCGAGGATAACGAGGAGCAACGAGTGATGAGGAGTACCGGAAGGTGAAGGAGGAGGGGGAGGATGCGTCGTCGCGGTTGACCTTGTTGCTGTGGCAGCCGCCGTCGTTGTCGCCGCCAGCGTCATTGTCGCCGCCACCGGTCTCGATGCCGTCGCCGCCTTCACCATCGGGACTGCCATCGGGACACCCATCGGGACAACCGTCGTGAAAACCATCGGGAAAACCATCGGGACAACCGTCGGGACAACCATCGGGAAAACCATCGGGACAACAATCGATACAACTAGGGGCGACGGCCATGATACGGAGGGGCGACTCATTTTAGTTTGATTTGGCCTCTGTTGGTGCAGGCATTTGCGCAGTCTCGCCTCGCCCGCACGCGCATTACGCGTGAAACGAAACGATCCTCCAGTTGGGGCAACTCACGTTTCACGAGGGTTTCCCCCCCGCCCCCCGCCCCCAGCCCCCCCCCCCCCCCCCCCCCCCCCCCACCACACCACACACACACACACACCACGCACGCACGCGCCGCGCACGCGCACGCGCACGCGCACGCGCACGCGCACGCGCACGCGCACGCGCACGCGCACGCGCACGCGCACGCGCACGCGCACGCGCACGCGCACGCGCACGCGCACGCGCACGCGCACGCGCACGCTACGCACACGCACACGCACACGCACACGCACACACGCACACACACACACACATAGATATAGACCTAATTACATCAGCATGGGGGCGATGGTTCCCCCCCCCGGGGCGTGCTCCACGACGGTTTCAGCTTTCCCCCCCCCACCGACACATGTATACGGTGGATACCCATGCCAAGAAACACCCTGCTTGCCTCCAGGGTGCCCTGGGCTTCTTGGATCCGATGGTTTTGCGATGGGAAGCGTGACGTTCCCACACCACACACGAACGGACGTCCTGGGGTCTCAGGGTTGGGCTTGGACGTCCCGCGAGTTGTCCCGTGGCTGTCCTGTGGGAGATCCCGTGGGCCGTCCTGTTGTGCCATGGACGTCTCGCGGGTTGTTCGTAGTTGTTTATTGGGTTGTCCCGTGATTGTCCGTTGGTTGTTTCTTGGGTTGTCCCGCGGTTTGATTCGCGCATTTTCTGTTTGTTGTTGTCTCGTGATTTCCACGTGGGTTGGTTCGCGATTGTCTTTCGGGATGCACAATCTGAAAACGACATGTAGTCACAGTCGAATTGCATTACGACGTGCAAAACGTACATCACATCGCAATCCAAAGGCGGCTCGGAATCCGCGTCGGCGCGGCGGTCGCGATGTGAGCCGATATCGAAGTCAGGAAAGGGCAGCTCGAGGCGCGATGCAGAGCACGCAGGGCCAGCGGCAGTCGGCAACCGCCAAGAGCGCAGGCGGAAGTGGAGCGCCCGCCCGGAGGATCCACTTTCGGGGACCTCGCCAGGCGGCGGATGTGTATATATATATATATATATAAAAATATATATGTATGTATGTGTGTATGTATATCTCTCTCTCTCTCTCTCTCTCTCTCTCTCTCTCTCTATATATATATATATATATGCATTCTGGCCCCATGGGCCCAAATATATCCGCATCCACCGCCCGCTGGGGCAACCAGGACGTCGGTTCCCGGGCGGTGGAAATGGACCAGTCCCCGCCTCGAACCGGGAGCTCCACCGCTGGGGCGGGGGCCGTGCGGGCGGGGACCTCCATACGAGGCGCCCGGGAGGCCCGCGGGCGGTGCGGGCGCCCCAGGCGCGGGCCCAGGGCCATGCGGGGCCGGCGGCCCGCTTTGGGCCGCATCGCGGGCCGGCCCCGAGTTGGCTCCTCCTCCTCCTCCTCTCCTCCTCCTCCTCCTCCTCCTCCTCCTCCTCCTCCTCCTCCTCCTCCTCCTCCTCCCCCTCCCTCCCCCCTTCTTCTCCTCCTCCTCCCCCTCACTCCCCCTTCTTCTCCTCCTCCTCCTCCTCCTCCCCCTCTCCTCCTCCCACTCCTTCTCCTCGAAATGGGTACCAAAAGAATGGGCACGATGCCCAACAGCAGTTCCTGTTCATTTTGAACAGGACTCGCTGTCCGCGCCGCCGCGGCCTGTGTCCATTCGAGGCAGAAGGCCGCCTGCCCAACAGCGGCCGCTGTTGGTTTGGGACAGCATCTGTTGTTGGGCATTGTACCCATTCTTTCCGTACCCACTTCGGGCGTCCAAACCGAGAGAATCGGGCCAGACGAAAGGGGGGATATATGGAAAGGGGGGTTACGAAGTCTGCTGCATGTAGCTGGTTTCGGCCCCGCCGCCGGGCCCATTCCTCGAAACATAGCCGCCTCCGGCGCCGGGAGGCGCCGGGAAAGTCAGCTACGCGAGCTGATTCTCAACCCCTTCCCCTTTGCGATCCCCCTCTTTCGCCCGGCCCGAGAGAATCGATCAGGTCCTCAGGCTCTCAAGCAGTTGCGAAACGTCCCGGCTCGCCTCTAGGCCCACCAGAGAAAATTCTAAAAGCCTTTTTGTGGCCTGCACGAATTGCTCTCGGAACATTTCTGGCTGGGACTGTCTTGTGTTAACGCATCGGGTTTATTATGTTCTAAGAGCATTGTTTTTGTTATGAGAACATGTTGGGGTTCTTAGAACACTTCGTGGTAGGACTAAAGGTATGTTGGGACGGTCGGTCCCTGCTCAAGGCTTTTCACCGCTCTTTGGCCCGAGGATCGAGGAGGATCGAGGAGCCCTCCAGGAGCACAGGCATCGAGGAGGATCGATCCTGGCGACCTCCTCCTCCTCCTCGTCGATCCTCGGGCATTTCCTCGGGCCAGGATTAGGGGAACAGTGACATAAACATAAAAACTCGGAGGTCCGCGCGGATTTCTCGGATCCGCGCTGGATCCCTCTTCCTGGCGCGCGGAGCGCGCCAGGGGCGGCGCCGGAGGCGCCGCCGGGGGGCCCCAGCGCCGATCCGAGAAATCCGCGCGGACCTCCGAGTTTTTATGTTTATGCCATTTTTTGTTCCCCCAAGGATGCACGAGGAGAGGTGAGGATCGAGGCTTGGCTGTCCTCGGCTCCCGGGGACACTCCACGCGGTAGGCTTCCACGCCAGGCCTCCTGTGGGCGGGGCCCCAGCAATGGTGGGGTCGGTGCCTCGCGGCGCGTCGCCGATGCGTCGGGGAGCTCGGTGTGGGGCCCGACCCAGACATCGGGCGTCTCGAAAGAATCGAGGCGCATTTTTGTTCACAGTTTTTGGCCTCTCGGGGCCCTCGCCGAGCCTCGGGACCGTCAAAAAACGACTCGGGATGAGAAACTGGGTCGGGAGGTCCGAGGCCTATGTCTCGAAAATTTCGAGACGTCAGATGTCTGGGGACTTTTCCGCGCCAGCGTGGCCGATGCATCGCCAATGCAGCGGCGATGCGTTGGCCAGCCGGTGCAAGCATCCGGCCCAAATTGCCCCATCTGGGAGGCCTCTGTCGAAGAAGAAACAGCGCCACTAGCAGAAACTCTTGGCGCTCCGCGCGGCTTTCTTGGATCCGCGCTGGGCCCCCATGCGGCGCCTCTGGCGCAGACCGGAGGCGCCGTCCGGGCTGACGGTCTGAACGGTCTGTCACCACACGGGCTTGGGATTCCCAAGAGGCACAGATTTGTCGCAGTTCGTTCGTGACACGGGCCCCCAGGTATCTCGACGGATGGTGACCCCCTCCCCAGGCAGGCTTTTCTCATGAGTAGCTTTGTGGAAGCGTCCGGGCATTTCTGTTGTGCTGTTGTGCCGCCCAGAGCCCAGGGATCATAGAGCCTCGATCTACAGTCTAGGGGCCCAGAGAACGCGCCGTTCCGGCACCGAGCATTGATCCTCGACTTTGGACCCCAGCGTTTCGCCGTCGTGTCTCCGTCGCAACGCGGCCCCCCTAGGTGGTCTGGGCCTGTGTCCCCAGGAGCAGCTTCTGAGCCCGCCTCGGCCACGTCCCCCCCCGAGTGGGCCGAGCATGGCCGCTCAATAGTCCGTGGTGGTGGTTCTCCCCCGAGAGGGAGCCCACGTCGGGGGTGGACAGAACCCCCAACAGTGACACGTCGATTAGTGAATTGCCCGTTTTCGGATCTCGAGAGGGCGCCGTGGCCGTTCTTTTCCAGGCCTGCGCCCGCCAGGTTTGAGCCTCAGGTCGTTTTCACTAAACCACGTTTTGCTAAAGGGGGGTCTGTCCATCCCCGACCATGGGGTCATGGATGGGTCGGATGGGTCGGGGGCGGCAAAGAGGGGGGTGATGACCAGGGGGTGGGTGGGTATCATGGCAGGGGCCATGATGTTTCCCCAGATCTCGTGGCGCCTCTTCTTATTTCATTTCGTCCCTGGCCCCCCCGCTGGGCCGCGCACATGCTGCTGGTCATGATTTGCACCCCCCCCCTCTTGGACACACCCCTCTTGGCCGCTCCCGAATGGGGGGGGAAGTCCTGGGTAGGGACCTCGCCCCAGCGGGCCTGCGCCCAGTTGCGCGCGTCCCTCCGCGCCCCCGCCCGCAGTACCACCTGAAGAAGCGGGAGGCGCCCCACGGCCGCGCGGCGGGGGCGGCCCTCTGCTGAAGGGGAACCCCTTATTTTTCCATATCTTCTGGGTTTTTTCGATTTCCCCCCCCCCCCGCTTCCCATACTTTCTTATATATTTTCTGGGGAATCGACGTTGAATTGCGTCTGTGTGTTTTTGTTCCCTGCTGATCTGCGGGAGCGGCTCCGCAGAGGCGCCGCGCGGCAGGTTCGCGCCGCGCTGCGTTTCGGCGAGCGCGGTGGGGGGGGGGAGAGTGGCCCACCGGGAGGAGGGCCTTCTCGGGAGGCGGCGGGGCTGCTCCTCCTCCTCCTCCTCCTCCTCCTCCTCCCTCCTCCTCCTCCCTCCTCCGGCAGTGGAGTTCTGACGTTCTTGGGCCAGGTGCCTTGCCTTTCTGTTAGAGCGGCGCGCAGAAAGCGGGCCACTCTGTCATCATGCCTGCCGGCGTGATCTCGCACCGCAGTATTTCGACCAGCCGACAGACCGTGCTCTGGAGTATTTCGGCATGTGCGCTGGACTGGGATGTGTGCTGGGACGTGTGCTGCCTTCGTGTGCTGGGACGTGTGCAGGGCTGCGTGTTGCCTCCGTGTGCTGGGATACGTGCTAGGATGTGTGCTGCCTTCGTGTGCAGGGATACGTGCTGCGGCTGCTGGGGTGTGGCCTGGGCACGTGCCGCCTCCGTGTGCTCTGCCTGCCCCCCCCGACCGGCCGTGCCCACCCCACCCCCACTGCCCGACCGTGCCCTCCCGTGCCCCTGCTCCCCCCCGGGCCCCTACGCCCGGTGGCCCCCGTCTGCTTATTCCCACCGACCGACCGACCGTGCCACCCCCCCCCCTTGCCCGACCGTGCCCTCCCGTCCCCCCGCTCCCCCTCGCGCCCCTTCGCCCCGTGGCCCCCGTCTGCTTATCCCGACCGACCGACCGTGCCCCCCACTTTTGCTCGACCGTGCCCTCCCGTCCCCCCGCTCTCCCCCCACGCTCTCCTCCGCCCCGTGGCCCCCGTCTGCTTATTCCGACCGACCGACCGACCGTGCGGGAGCAAGTATTTCATCTTCCCTTATTGCCGGTTCAGAAGTCTTACGCGTGGCGCAGTGTTCGAAAGAAGCTACACCCCGGAGCGCTGAGGGGGGAGGGGCGTGTGAACGGGGAGGGGGGTAGGGAGGCAGGCAGGAAGCTGGATGACGAGATCGACGACGACCATACTGCCCCTCCATGTGTTCGTTCTCGCTGGACCTTCGTGGGCAACCCAGCTGTTGCGGCGAGGTCGCTTTTCGGGATTCCCAATAGCCGTTCCCGACGACGGCGGCATCGGTGTTGATGACTACGGCGACGTCGGCGGCGGCAGCAGCGAGGACGACGGCGACGGCGACAGCGACGACGACGCCGACCTTGACGACAACCGCGTCAGCGGCGGCAGCGGTGATGGCGACGGCAACGTCGACGTTGACGTCTGCGGCGACGGCGGCAGCAGCGGCGACGGCGACGGACCACTGAGATCCGACGCCACACAAAAAAAACGGCAGCGTGAGAAATCACAGCCGGAGCGCCAAGACCCCACCTACCTAGACATCGGGCCCCTCCGCTAAGGGTCCTGCGCCCCAGTCTACGACTCAAAGGCTGCAACGCCAGGTGCATCGGGGGCGACGGCGACGACGTCGACGGCTGCGGCGACGTCGACGGTGGCAGGGCCCGTTTTGATCCGAGCGGCTCAGGAGGCGGCAATGGCGCACAGTCGCAAGGTGGCTCAGCAGCTCCTCGCCGAGTTCCCCCGGCTCGATTTCGGTGTCCAGCTGATCCGATTGGGTCAGATGGTTTTACTGGCGTGGTCGATCCGATTCGCTCCCGACTCCATGCCGGGTGCACCCCGATCTGTCGACTGATCTTTCGATGGCGATGGCCACGTCGACGACCACGGCGGCGGCGACGATGGCTTCAATGCAGTCACAGGTTGTCTATTGGTGATCGCTCCTCCGCCCCCCTTTCTCCTCACTTCCTCCTCCCCCTTCCCCCGTCCCCCTCCTGCTCCCTCTCCTCCTCCTCGTCCTCATCCTCCTCCTCCTCCTCCCTCTCCTCCCTTCTCTTCCCTCTTCACTCCTCATGCCTCTCATGCCTTCTCTGTCCTCCTCTTCTGTCCTTCTACTTATTTCCTCCCCTTCTCTGCACTTTCCTCCCCCCTCCCACTACTTTATCCCGCCACTCTTTCCCCTCCTCGTCCCTCCTCTCTCTCCCCTCCTCTCTCCTCCGTCCTCCTCCCCCCCCTCCCCTCTCGCGGATGCCCCGCACGGAGCGCAGCCGTGCGACCGCGAACACCGCGGGATCGCGCCGGAATCCAGCCCTCGATGGTGTGGATCCCAGACATGTGACGTCCTGATTTGTTTCAGGGTCGCGCCCCTGGAAGTCCCGACCCTTTCCCCGGGGCCGGTTTTTCGTCCTGCGTCGTTTTTTGACGCTCCCCGGGGCAGGCGAGGGCCCCGAGGGGTCGAAAGTAGCCAAGAACCTTCCGTCCTGATTTTTTACGACGCGAGCATGTCTGGGATATGGACGCGGTCTCTTCCTCCCCCTTCCCCCCCGTGGTGGTGGGGAGGCTCACCAACCGCATCGGCGGCTGGCGACGGCGACGGCCGGCGGCGGCGGTCAGCGAGCACAGGGTACCATCTTCACGGAGCTGCCCGAGGCCCTCCTGCGCGCGAGGGGGGGGGGAGATTCTCGAGAGCCTCGAGACGGGGGCCAAGGCAAACGGGGGTCAGCCAGGGCGCCCGATCTTGCGGTCGCTGCCGCCGCGGGCCTTGCCCGTGTGAGGCAGGAGGGCGCCTGTCGGAGGTTGACGGACCTCCTACCCCGACGCGTCGATTCAGGGATTGGCCGTTTTCGGTTCGCGAGAGGGCGCCGCGGCCGTCATTTTTGCGGGTCCAGGTCCGTCGGTTTCGGTTCTAGGCCGTTTTCACGAAGGGGAGGTTACTAAAGGGAGGTTTCTCCACCGCCGAGCCTGCCCAGCAGCGGCCGCTGTCGGTTTTGGACAACGTTTGTGGTTGAGCATCGTATCCATTTTTTCGGTACGCGTCTTAAGGAGGGGGGGAGAGAGTGAGGGTGGGCAAGCCAGGTTCGAGGAGAAGCACAAGCATTGGTGCGCGGATTCGCGACGGGTCCCGTTTCATTGTTGCGGAATCGGCGCGTTCCGCCACCAACACGGGCGGCATTTGTGCCATTTGTTCGGGGCTACCTGCCCCCATCCATGGATCTGGCAACCGCGCACCAATTGTTTTTGCGTGCGCCCGATACGTGCGTTCGCGCCACATCTGACATCCGACCCCTCCCACCTAATTATCCCTTTCACTGCGCCGATTCGTCTCAATCTGCCAATGACTGTAGTGTCATAGCGGACCCGGAACTCCAGAGAGGACCACATAGTGACCAGCGTAATCCGAAAAGGGGAGTTGCGTACGTTGGAGAGTAGAAGGAGGAGGAGGAGGAGGAAGAGGAGGAGCACGGGGATGTTCAGGAAAAACATGAGGACGAGGAGGGATATATTTGAATGCGCGCCTTCGGCGCTTTGGGGCGTATGCAGTCAAACCGTTTCTTCAGAACCTGCTGTATCCGGAGATCCGTGATCCTGCGAGCAAGCACACGCGCGAAACCGACAAAAAGCCCGTGGCATGGACGTCCGAGCGATTGCAACAAAGGGGCCCTGGGATCATCACGCGCGCTTCGCAAGCACACGACGCATCAGAGTAATGGCGACCTCTCTTCCTCCTCTTCCTCCTCCTCCTACTCCTATCCTTATTCCTTATTCGAATCTACTCTTTCTCGCCCCTCTGGCCGGCCGATCGGGGTTTCATCCGGGCCTTCCCATCTTAAATATTAATAACAATACAAAGTCGTCGTTGTTTCTCTCAACATTGCCTTTGTTGTCGTCGACGATGCGAAATGCGTAACAGGAATGGGACGCGGCGCACATCGCGCGCGGCTGTCAATCCGGGCCCTCCCATCCTAACTGTAATCAATCAATACAAAGTCGTCGGTGTTTCTCTCAGCATGGCCTGTCTTGTCGTCGACGATGCGAAATGCGTAGCAGGAACGGGACGCGGCGCACATCGCGCGCGGACGTCTGGGGCAACCCCAAGCGGGAGGGGCCATCCTACCAGTCAAAAAACAATACAAAGTCGACCTGTCTCTTCTCAACGTGGACTTTCTTGTCGTCGGCGTTGCGAAATGCGTGGCAAGAATAGGGCGCGGCGCAGTCTCGCGCGACAGGACCACATGTCGCTCTCGCCTTGGCGCCGCGCGCATGTTTTCTGAAAGTTGCGCTCCCGCACAGGCGCAGCGCACATGTTTCGTTCGCCAATTCGTCGGGCGCCCGGGGCCTCCCAGGGCCTCCTCGAACATCCTGGGGCATGATAGTGCCTCCTGGGGCCAGCCCAGGGCCTCGTGGATTCTCCTGGGGCCTCCTGAGGCTTCCTGGGGCCTCCATCTCGCCAATTCGTCGGGCTTCCCGGGGCCTCCCCAGGAACTCGTGGATCCTCCTGGGGCCTCCTGAGGCCTCCTGGGGGGGCTTCCTCGGATTCCCCGGGGCTTCCTGACACCTCCTAGGGCTTCCTGAAGCCTCATGGGACTCCTGGGGTTCGCTGGGGCTTCCTGCAACCTTCTGGGGAGGCCTCCTGGGGCCTCCTGAGGCTTCCTGAGGCCTCCTGGGGCATCCTCGGCTCGTGCTAAAATGCCAGCGCAGCCTTTGAGACGCGCCAGGAATTTCACATCGGTAACCGCCATCGCGGCTGCATCAGTTGTGCCGAACCACCTTGCCGATCTGATGTCGGCACCAGTTGCGTCAGCACTGTTCCTTATATTGTGGGAGGGCGGGTGGGAATGGGCATGCCATGCTTGACTCGCTCGAGCTGGCTTACTTGACTCCTACTCCTACTCCTACTCCTACTCCTACTCCTACTCCTACTCCTACTCCTCCTACTCCTTCTCCTACTCTTACTCCTTCTCTTCCTCCTCCTCCTCCTCCTCTTCCTCCTCCTCCTCCTCCTCCTCCTCCTCCTGATCCTCCTCCTTCTCTTCCTTCCTCCGCCTCCGCCGCCACGGGCCGTAGGGCGCCTCTCAGCGGGTCGGCTGCCCCCGCAGTCTCCAGGAGAAGGGGGGGGTGGGGTGGGGGGGGGGCGTCTGTCGATCGGCGGCGAGCGAGGGAGGAGGAGGAGGAGGAGGAGGAGGAGGAGGAGGAGGAGGAGGAGGAGGAGGAGGAGGAGGAGGAGGAGGAGGAGGAGGGGAGGAGAGGGGGGGAGGGGGAGGGGAGGAGGGGGAGGGGGAGGGGGAGGAGGGGAGGGGGAGGGGGAGGGGGAGGAGGAGAGGGGGAAGAGGCGGAGGAGAGCAGGAGGAGGAGGAGGAGGAGGAGGAGGAGGAGGAGGCGGAGGCGGAGGCGGAGGCGGAGGAGGAGGAGGCGGAGGAGGCGGAGGCGGCGGGGGAGGAGGAGGGGGACAACCCAGAGGGGCAGCCGCCGCTGCTTCAGCTGGCCCCTCTGCGATCCGTCAGGGGCAGCGGCAGGGGGCGGAGGGGGCTGGCTCCGGAGGGGAGGCGTCGACCCCCCCTTCGGAGCGCCCAGGCCTCGCCGATGGGGGCCTCTGGGCACCCCGCCATGCCCCCGGAGAGCTCGCGGTTGCGCTCTGGGGGGGGGGGGCTGGGCCGTCGGCGGAGCCTCGGCGCTCTCGGCAGCAGCGCTTCCCCATCTGAGCCAGGCCGTCCCCCCCCCCGCGGGGAGGGGGAGGGAGGCAATCAGCAGCGAGGGGGGAGCATGACCCACGCCTCCTCCCGTTGTGCGAGGCGGATCCTCCTCCCCCTGCTGTCCGAGAGGGTTTCAAAGTTCGGCTGCGGTCATCTGTGCAAGCGTGCCTCCAGTGAGCCCCGAAGGACGGCCAGGCGCAGCAGTGTAGCGGCCCCTGCGCGCAGACCTCTCAGGAAGGCCCCGTTCGTGCCACCCCCTTGTTCGAGCGACCAAGCAAGATCATCGCAGATGTTCGCTGCCGGAGGGCGCCACACTGTCCTGCTCAGGAGCGACGGCACGGCTGTGGCTTGCGGCGCCAATCACTGTGATCAGTGCAACCTCCCGACGCTGACCCTGGGCCTGACATACACGCAGGTTGCCGCTGGATGGAGCCACACTGTTTTGCTGAGGAGCGATGGCGTGGCCGTGACGTGCGGTCTGAATCGCCGTGGGCAGTGTAGCATCCCAGCACTGGCCGACGACCTGAAGTACACGCAAGTTGCAGCTGGAGTGGACCACACAGTTCTCCTCAGGAGCGATGGCGTTGCCATGGCCTGTGGTTGCAGCGTTGATGACCAGTGCAACCTCCCTGCGCTGGTCGAGGGCCTGACCTACACGCAGGTTGCTGCCGGAGGGCGCCACACTGTTCTGCTCAGGAGCGATGGCACGGCCGTGGTTTGCGGTCACAATGATGGCCAGCGCGACCTCCCCCCGTTGTTTGCTGACCTGGCCTACACGCAAGTTGACGCTGGAGAGGACCATGTGATTCTGCTCAGAAGCGACGGCACGGCAGTGGCTTGCGGGGCTAATTATCGTGGTCAGTGCGACATTCCTGCGCTAGTCAACGACCTCACGTACACGCAAGTTGCCGCTGGAGGGGACCACACAGTCCTGCTCAGGAGCGATGGCACGGCCGTCGTCTGCGGCTGGAATGGTGATGGTCAGTGCGTCCTCCCTCAGCTGATCGCGGACCTGACATACACGCAAGTTGCCGCTGGAGGAGACCACACAGTTTTGCTGAGGAGCGACGGGACAGCCGTAGCTTGTGGCCGGAATGCTGCTGGTCAGTGCGACATCCCTGCGTTGCCCGGGGACTTGGCTTACACACCTCACCTGTTCCCAGCGCTGGTCCTGCAGGCGTTCGCCGGCGGAAATCTTTATCCGCATCCACGGTCTCGCGGGTCAGGCCTTTGGGCTATGACCTCCGTGGACACTGCGCGTTTTCTCGCGGATGCCTTGCGCGGAACCTCTCCATGACTCTCCATGCGACCTCGTATCCACGGGAACGCGCCCCGGAATCCAGGCAGCGCTGTCGTGGATACGGATCGTATGTTGACCACTCGTGAGGCGTCGCGCGACGGCCACTCGGTGCGCTTCGTGACCCTCGGCGGGGCGGAGTTGATGGGCCTGTGCTCCACCACTACCACCATAAGTTGGAGGGGGAACCAGGTGGAGGATGAGGAGGAAGAGCAGGAAGAGGAGGAGGAGGAGGAGGAGGAGGAGGAGGAGGAGGAGACGGGGAGGAGGAGGGGGAGGGGGAGGAGGGGAGGACGGGGAGGAGGAGGAGGAGGAGGGGGAGGACGGGGAGGAGGAGGAGGAGGGGGAGGAGGAGGAGGAGGAGGAGGAGGAGGAGGAGGAGGAGGAGGAGGAGGAGGGGGGAGGAGGAGGAGAGGAGGAGGAGGAGGAGGAGGAGGAGGAGGAGGAGGAGGAGGAGGAGGAGGAGGAGGACGACGACGAGAGGGGGAGGAGGCGGAGGAGGAGGAGGAGGAGGAGGAGGAGGAGGACCCCGTCCCCCTCCTGCTTCTGGTGCGGTGGTGGACAACAGGCCCACCAGGAGCGCTTCCGCCTCGAGGCCGTCTGGCCCCAGGCCCGCCTCGCGGACCTCCACGGCCAGCTGGCGGCCCAGTGCCGCGCGGGCAGGCTGGGCCCCGGAGTCTGGCGAGTCGACGCGCTCTTGCCGGGGGGGCGGCTGCTCGGCGTCGGCGGCGTGCACGAGGGGGTGGCGCGAGTTGGGCGGGGCGGGGATGAGGTCGGGCGTGTCACTCTACAGGAGGAGTGCTTAGGGGTAGTCAAAAAATAGTCGGAGGACGATGTTCCCCGCCATTGTTGACTTGATCTATATACGTACACACACACACATATATATATATATATATATATGTATAGCTATATATATACACATATGTGTATATATATAAATGAATAAATTTCTTCCAAAGGCCGCCTATAGGAGGACATCCGACCGAAGAGTTGTGCGGGTCTGGGACGGATAAATCGTCCCAGAGCGTTCCGGAACGTTCTCAGAGCGTTGCGGCACGCTCGCAGAAGCCGCAGCGCCCGATGCATCCTCCAGAGCCGCCGGATCTCAGAGATTCCCGATGTATCTTTGTCTGCTGCTGTCCCTGTCCTTGCTTCGTCTTAGCGAGCTGGCTGGCCTTCCAAGAAGTCGGGGGGCCTCTCAGACAGCACGGGCCTTCTGAGAAGGACTCCCCAGAGTTCTCACGATAATGCTTTCTTGGTGACCAGAAGGGCTTCTGAGAAGACCCCCAGCTGGCTTCTCAGAGGGTCCCCCGCCGTCTTCCAGAACTTGTTTTACAATTTGCGATGACGCCGGTTACCAGGTATGCCCCCACCATCACTTGGTAACGCCACGAATCGCGCTGGCGCCGTTTGTGAATGGCTAGTGGTAGGTAAGCCCCACACGGCGCCGGTGCCGATCGTGACGTTACCGGCCCCTTTGCCGCCTCCCCTCTGGTAACGGCCGATGTCGCGCGGGAACAAAGAGCGCGCCCTCGGCCACATTCCTGGCGCCTGGTTACGAACGTCAGAAACACACATGTTTGCCAAGAAGTAATGGATCGTAAATCCCCCACGTCGGAGTCAGGCCATTTGCGAGTAGTTCCTTCGCGAGTAGTTGGACGCGCGAGTCTATTCTCAGAGGTTCCTCCGCGGTTTCCCTAGGCCGACCCCCTGGCGCCAGCCCCGTCTGCGCGCCGCTACAAGAAGCGCCTCCGCCGAAGAGACGGTCGCCAGCGCCTTCGGGTCCTGAGTTGGCGGGCCCGCCGCGGCGTCGCGGCCGCGCAGGAGGGCTGAGCAGCTCGTCGAGGAGATAGAGCAATCATCTAGAACGATCGGGCAAAAACATCAAACAATTGAAGGTCGCTGAGGGGTAGCGGACACGATCTGCTTTCTGGAGCGACGGAGGAGGGGGGCACACTCGTAAGGTAAGGGCAAGCCTACGCAGCCCAATCATCGGTAAGAGCAAACCTAAGATACGAGCTTCTTGCGAAAGGAGGTCGTAAGGTTTGCTGCTGACGGATCATGCGCGCCAGCCGAGCTTTTTGGGGTCTGGCCCTCGAAACAACGCTGCCCCCCGAGCGACCTCCAATCAAACACATACATGTACGCGTATGGGCGTCGGTGGTCCCGCGCACCCATGTTAGAACTGTTCGCAGGACTCAACAGGAGAAGGGTTTCGTAACAACTCCTTCGTCGCTACCCTCTGTGAGGGTCTATTGCTGCTGCCTCGTGTAACTAATGACTGTGAAATGGTTACTCTAGTAAAGGTGTCTTACAGTTGCCCTTTCCAAGGGTGTGTTTGATTATGTAACGGTGTCGTGATGGTTTAGTGTGTGCAGTGCTTAGGCGTAAGAGTTGTGCGGTGTTTCCTTATGTATTGTATGTTCCGCCGAGTATCCTCATTATAAAGGGGGTCGTGTTCCTTAGTATGCTTATGTTCTTAGCCTTGCTTCATGATGTTAGGGTTTCTCCCTGCTTCCTCTTGTGCTAGTTTCATAGTGTGTCCTTGTGTAAGCGCACCTTACTGTTTCCTTGTGCGCTTCCAGCAATCTGCATTCAATCTAAGCTGTTTCCTGGTATACGTGTGTGGAGGAGAGATGTATTATTGACGATTCGCGTGTCCCCACCGGCACATTCACAAACCCTGCCCATGAGAGTTGACGGGCAAAGGGACGAAGAGACATGTAGTGAAACGAAGCGGGCAACCAGGGTGAACAGAGGAATCGTTGGGAGCAAAGGGTTGGCCTGAAGGGCCTCTTCGGGCCATCGTTTGGGGCCCGCGTGGGGGCGAGGGAAGGAGGAGGAGGAAGACGAGAGCGACGACCACGACGACGAGGAAGAGGAGGAATGGGACAAGGAAGCCGATGAGGGCAAGGACGTGGACGAGGACGAGGAAGCGGAGGACTACGAGGACGAGGACAGAGCCCTCAAATCGCCTCTTGGAGCCCCTTGGAACTTTCTTGAGGGATCCTGGGTCTTCTCGGGGCTGTTGTGGGAGTCTTAGAGCCCTCTTGGAGCCATCTTGGGGGTCCCTTGGGAGCCTTGGAGGGCCTCTTGGGGTCATCTTTGAGGCCATCGATCAAAATGGGGGGGTCCTAAATGTTCCTCCCCATCCTGGGGCCATCAACATCGCCTCGTGGAGCCCTCTTGGGGCGCTCGTGGGCGTTCGTTGGCGCCCTTGGGAACTTCCGGAGGGCCTATTTGACCCCTCTTGGGCCTCCCTCGGGCCACCTTGAGGCTTCTAAAGCGCATCGGAAGCGGCACGGCGAAAAGTCAAACATCATTGATTCCCCTCAGATGTTTCAAGGATGTTGGCCTCGTAGAGGGGGTCTTGAGGGGGCTCCGAGAGCACTTGAAACCGTCTTGTGGCCCTCGTTGGGCCTCTTGGAGGTATGTCGGAAAGCCATTTTGAATCATCGTCGGTTATCTTGGGCCATCTTGAAGGCCATCTTGGAGCATCGAGGGCCCTCTACAAGCCATCTTGGGCGAAACAGGCCTCCCCAATACTTCGGGGCCCGCATCCAAACAATTCAGGGAGGGAAGGGGAGGGTACCCCCCCCCCGGAGGGAAGATGGTGTTGGAAGAGGGAAGATATCGCTAGACCAATTCAGCCCAAAGGGCAAGCGGGATTAGTTGTCTCGCTCTCCCTCTCTGTCTTGGTGTTCTCTATCTCTCTTTCTTATTCTCTGGCTCTCTCGCCGTCTGTATGATTGTTGTGTTCTACCTGTCTGTCTGTCTCTTTATATTTGTTTTGCTGTTTTTTTGTGTTCCATCTCTCTCTGTACATGTATCAGTAACGTATCTCTCTCTCTCTTTCTGTCTCTTTCTCTCTTTTGTCTCTCTCTCTCTCTCTCACTCACTCTCTTTGTTTATGGTATAGTAGATAAACAGATCTGTGCAGAGATGTATATGTAAATGTGTGTGTGTGTGTGCGTGTGTGTGTTCCCATGCAAATCGATGTTTAACACCCAGGACCCCCTCCCCCCGGAAATCGGACCCTCCGAATCTCGGGCCCCTGGGACCCCCTGCACCTCCCGGATCCGAGCCCCGGCAGGAGGCCCCCCAGGCATCCCAGAGCTCCTGGAAGCCCCTGCTGGGCCCAGGCAGCGAGCCCAAATCGGTCTGGAGGGCGGCCGAGCAACCCCCCGAGGGCCCCAGGATGCCCCAGTCACCCACCAGGCGCCCGAAGACGACCCAATGAAGACCCCCTAAGAGGCTTCCAAAGCACAGGAAAGCATGTATTTCGCAAAGGTTTGCGCATGTCGTGGGCCATCTTGGGGCTATCTTCGACCGTCTTGGTGGGCTCCTGGCCCGTCTGACGCCGTCGGAAGCTGTCTTGGGGGGCCTCCCTGGGCCGATTTGCGGCCCTCTTGGGGTGCTCCAGGGCCGACTTGGAGCCTTCCTGGGGCATCTTAGAGGCCTCTTGGGCCGTCTTTGAGCAGGACGAGCCCATCTTCAGCATGTACGCCGCGCTGGAGGGGCTGGGCGTCCTCAGGACCATGGTCGCCGAGGGGGAGGCAATCACAGAGGCCTTCGCTATCGGGGTCATATCCAAACTCACGAACCCCGCGGACATCAACCCCCACGACACAACGGTGCCCATAGACATGAAAGCTGGCCGCCAAAAAGGAGAACAGGGACGCGACGGTTCGCGCGCTGGGCCACCCGTGACCGTTCAAAGCGGTCCCGTCCGCCCGCGACCACTACGGGGAGTATTTGAACCAGATGGTTGTGGGCCAGCGATCCATGCCTATCCCCGCTGCAGAATTGCGACGCCGACAAGAGGTAGACGAGTGCGACGACGAGGATAAAGAGAGCGACGTGGAGCACGAGGACAACACCAGGTGTAATGCGGAGTGCAACGACCAGCGACGGCCCCGGGGAGTCATGGCGAGATCTGCCTGCCTGAAGCCAGAGAAGACCACAAAGTACTACAAGGCTACGGACAAGGGTATACACATACATCTTACACACAATAGATCACGTCTACCCATTAACGCTGTAGAAATCAACATGCATCACGCCTGCGGTCCATACCGCGTCTACGGCCGAGTGGTCTCGCAGCTCCACCCACCTTCCCGCCTCCCGCTCCGAGGCCCCGAAGGGTATTCGGGAGTGTGCGCTACCTTCCCTCCGGAAAGGGCGGTCTCCGTTTAGACACCGCACCCCAGGGCGCGGCGGCGGCGGCGTTTGGGTGACGCGCCAGCGGTTGCGAGGAGGGAGAGGAGGCTCAGGAAAAGGATCGGCCAGAGCAGAAGCGGGGGCATGCGGAAGACGAACGGGGACGACAGAACGATGCGGAGGGATAGGTAGGCACAGTTTGTACAGCAGGAGGGAGGAGGCGAGACGAAAGAAACAGGGAGATGGACAGGGGGGATGCGGGAGGGAAAGCTGCAGACGTCACAACATCCCATTTTCTGAGTGCGACCGCACTGAGGTATATTCGAAAGGAGCGGTCGACCGCTTTCCGAAGGGGGAGGGGGACAACGGCAAAGGGAACGCGCTAAACCACCTGCGGCCGCGGGATTGGTGGGAGTATGGGTGTTTGGGCGCCCCTCGGATAAAAAACAGGCAGACATGGGATGATAATCGCTAGGTCCAAAGCGGTGCGAGACCCGCGGCCCCCGATGCATTGTGCAGAAGACCCGCCGGCTCTCAGAGATTCGTGGTTTGACCCGCATCCTGAATCCGATTATGTTATCGCCCTGCCTTCGTTTTCGCGTCCGGGTCTGCTATTTTTCTCTTCATCAGGAGGGGTGATGGGGCGCAGAACTGCGGGTGGCCTTGGGTGCGGCCCGCGTCGCAGATCTGCGTGCTGGGGCGTGTCAACTCTGGCAAGTCCGCCATGATCCAGCACCTGTTCAAAAAATGCGAGATGGCCAGGACTCCGCCTCCTTCTTCGGCAGGATTTCCAAAGCGATCCAGGATGGTCGTTCGGGGATGGCTCGTTCTCCCTTTCTCGCTCCTCCCCCCTCCTCCCTCCTGTTCCGCAGCCCCTGGTGGTTAGGACGCTGCCCGACTGCACGGGAGGAGGAGGAGGGACGAGGAGGAGGAGGAGGAGGAGGAGACGAAGGAGGAGGGAGGAGGAGGAGGAGGAGGAGGAGGAGGAGGAGACGAAGGAGGAGGAGGAGGAGGAGGAGGAGGAGGAGGAGGAGGAGACGAAGGAGGAGGGAGGAGGGAGGAGGAGGAGGAGGAGGAGGAGACGAAGGAGGAGGAGACGAAGGAGGAGGAGGAGGAGGAGGAGGAGGAGGACCACGGCCCAGGGGGGCCCCGTCTCGGGCCGCGGAGCCGTCCGGGAGCTATCCTGGACACGCCACGAGTCCACGGGAGGGGCCAGAGAAGGAGCGGGGGGGACGGGGGAGGGGGACGAGAATGGGGGGGGGGCGACAGGGGAAGGAGGGGGAGGTTCGGATGCAACTCCTGAGAGGTCAAATTCTGAGTTGGCCCTGGTCCGGAATCCCGCTCAATCCCGCTGAATCCCGCTTTATCTGGCTTAATCCCGCTTGATCCGAGGCCCACTCCGGCGTAACAGCCCCCCAATGGGGCTTAATCCTCTTCAATCCTTCCGACGAAAGCCTTCCAGTAGTTGCCTCCTAACACGGTGGGCGACTGGGGAAGGATCGGGGATGGACAGACCTCCTACCCTGACACGTCGATTAAGGAATGGGCCGTTTCCGGTTCGCGAGGGGCGTCGCGGCCGTCAGTTTTGCAGGTCCAGGTCCGTCGGTTTCGGTCCCAGGCCGTTTTCATTAAGGGGAGGTTTACTAAAGGGAGGTTTGCCCACCGCCGAAAGGAGGGGTATGGGAGAGGGAGAGGGAGGAGGATGACGACGGTCGCTGGCGGGTCCGGGGGCCCAGATGGCCCGCAGCGCGGAGGCGTGCGGGGGCGCAGGCGGTGGGGAGCTCGGGCGGGTGACCGGCAGCAGCCGAGCGGGGGGCGCGGGAGGGCGCGCCACGCGCAGCAGGCTCTGCCGCGGCCAGTTCCCTCCGCCCAGCTCGTCAACACGCAGTGGGCTTGGCATCGCTCGGACCTGTGCATGTTTCCTTCGGCGAGGACAATCGAGGAGCATCCTTGATCATTTGGCGAGAAAACCACGCACGAAACCGAAAAAAACAGGGAATGGACGTCCGAGCGATGGCGAGTGGGGGCCCATGCCAAGAAACGCCCTGCTCGCCTCCAGGGTGCCCTTGGTTTCTCGGATGTCGACGGCTTTGCTGTGGAGAGCGCGACGTTCCCGCGCCAGGCATCGAGGGACGCCCTGGGGTCTCGGGGTGGGGTGCCTGGCGGAAGGCTTCTGGTGGACTGGCCGCCTCCGCCGTGCGTCGCCTTCGGCGGGGGGCCAGCCGAACCCGGCAGTGGGGCATCAGAAGCGGGGGCGGGCCCGCCGGCAGAAAGGTCAGGCGGCGGCCATCGGGAGCCTTGAGACGGGGGTTAATGCAAACGGGGGTCAGCCAGAGCGCCCGATCTTCCAGCATCCTGCAGGGCCAGGGTCGCGTTGGCCCGGGCTTGGGCGCAGGATCCTGCAGGATCTCGCGGGATCCTTCGCATTGACCCCGGCTTGGGTGCAGGATCTTGCAGGATTCTGCAAGGCCTGGCTGGCCCGGGTGTGGATCGACCCGAGTCAGAAGATCCCCGAGGCCAGACGTAGAGGTCGGCCATCCCAGAGATGCAGTGGATTCCGGATTCGGGGTTTCTGGAGCGAGCGGTCTCTCGCCCCTCGCCTGTGCGAGGGGGGCTCCCCCTTTCTCGAAGGAGAAAAAAGAACGCCATAGTCATCAACTTTTGGCGCTCCGCGCAGATTCCTTGGATCCGCGCTGGGCCCCCCTGGCGGCGCCTCCGGCGCCGCCCCTGGCGCGCCAGGGAGGGGGGTCCGGCGCGGGTCCAAGACATCCGCGCGGAGCGCCAAACGTTTCTGTTCATGGCGTTTTTGCTTGCTCTACTTTCGCCTTCTAGCGTTAAGTCGGGCATGTCCCTGTACAGAAGGAACATCGAAATAGTCGAAACATTGTCAGGGGACGACTTTTCAGTTGTCGTTTGCTTGCATTACATAGTTCTGGACTGTTTGTCATCCGCCCGTAAGAGGACAGCCCGACCTAATTCTAGCTTTCGCCGCCGCGGCGAGCCGCCTCGTCCGCGGCGTCCGGTGCCCCGATGCTGCTGTTCGCCGTCCTCGCCCGCTGTGGCCCGCCGCCCGCCCGTGGCACGCACGCCGCGGCCCGAGGCGAGCGATGTGCCCGATAACGGCTGCTTCTCCGCCGAAGGGCGCCCGCGTGTCGCTAGCATTGTAAGTCGGGCCTGTCCCTCTACAGGAGGAAGGTTTAAAAATAGTTGAAAAAATACTATGGAGACGATTTGTTGAGCATTGTTTGACCATTTGGGGGGTACGTTTTGAGTATTTTTTTATGTTTCGCCGAAAATCCCCCGGACACGCCCGACTTAACGCTAGAACCGCAACAACAAAAACTCGGAGGTCCTCACGGATTTCTCGGATTGGCGCTGGAATCCCCTCCCTGGTGCGCGGAGCGCGCCAATAGCGGCGCCGGAGGCGCCGCCAGGGGCTCCCAGCGTCGATCAGAGGAATCCGCGCGGACCTCCGAGTTGTTACGTTTATGTCAGTCTCATTTCCCCTGATAACTGTTGGTTCTCCGCCGAAAGGCACCCGCGTGTCGCTAGGGCCCGCTTCTTGGCAACCATCCGAGCAATCTTCGACGTCGTATGCGCCCATCTGCTCTTTCATGCGGGGATCACGCAGCCTTCCGTGAGGCCCTTGCGCCGTGGAAGGTATGCGGGATCTTGAGGATAGGAGTGCGCCGGCGCTGGGGGGGGCGTAGCTTTCTTGATGCCGGGGGGAGGACGAGTAACGAAAGGGGGGGGCGCGTGGTGCGAGGTGAGGCCGTCGCCGGATTGCACACTGCACACCTGCTTGTTATTGACGAGGAGGACCGGGAGGTCTGCCCCCCCCACCCCCACACCCCCTTGCTGCAGCTGCAGCTCCCCCTCGACGCACCAGCCACGCCCTCCTCGCCGCCAGGAAGAAGTACGCCCTCAGATCCCAGAGGCCCGGCTCCACCGAGGCATGCCGGCGGCGGCCGCCATCGAACGGGAGGAGCTGGAGCAGCGGGAGGAGGAGGAGGAGGAGGAGGGAAGGAGGAAGGAGGAGGATCGAGAGGCCAGTGTTTCGGCTGGCTGGCGGTGGGGCCTCCGTGGACCTTCGCGAGCGCAACAGGGAGGAGCAGCAGGGGGGACGAGGAGGACGAGGACGAGGGGCTTCGGCGCCCAAGGGAGGTAGTCAGGGCTGGCAGTGCTTTGGCGGTCCGGAGAGCTCGGTATTTCCGAGCCCTTCCAGGGCGCATGGCATGGCATAGCGAGGACGAGGAGCAGGATCTCGGGGCGAAGGAGCAGCAGCAGGATCGGGCCGAACGAAAGGGAGGGGATAGGGAAAGGAGGGGGTACGAAGTCTGCATGCAGCTGGTTTCGGCCCCGCCGCCGGGCCCATTCCTCGATACATGGGCGCCTCCCGGCGCCGGGAGGCGCTGGGACAACCAGCTACGTGAGCTGGTTCTCCACCTTACCCTTTGCCATCCCCCCCCCCTTCGTTCCCCCCGACAGGAGCAGGACGGGGAGGCGGCGCAGGAGCAGGAGCAGGGCGAGGGCGACGTCGACAGAGAGAGGGGGGGGGCGAGCGGTGTCTCCGTGTCCCGCCCGCTCGCTTGCTCCTGAACCTGTGCGTCCTAGCCCTTGCTCTGGCCGCCGCTCTTGCCCAGGGGAGCGGGAGGTAGTGATTTTGGCCTCGGCGCACGAGTACGCCCGCCGAACATCAAGAGATCCCAGCACGAGCCCCCCCCCACGCCCCCCGCGGCCGCGCCCTCTTCCCAGGGCAGCGGCCACGGAGAAGAATAGTTTCGGGGTCTCCAATGGAGGGGCGGCTGCAAATACGTTCACCCCCCACGGAGTCGAACTCAACTTACCGCGCCAAAAGCCAGGACCGGATCTCGGGATTGGCCCCTCCCCCCTTCTTGATGTCGTTCCGAGATGTTCAAGGTTTCCCAGCTTCCTCAGCTTCCCACATGTGCCACGAGGGCTCCAGGCACGAGTGCTGCCAGGCGCCCTGGAAGTCCCGGAGCGCATCCCGAGTCAACCCCGTCATGACATCGTTCTCGTTCAGCTTGCTCCCGTGATCGTCTGCTCCCGTTGTCGTCCGCCCCGCAGACCCGCCCGCAGCCTCACCCGCGACCCCCCCCGCGGCCGATCAGTGGCCGGGCAGCGCGTGCGACGTGACGACGCACGATCCACAGTGAGCGGCTTGAACAAGGAACACTTACTTTTCAAAAGGGGCTCGGTCCTTCCTTAGATGTACATGCAGCTCCTTATGCGCTATCTAGTATTTCTCGCTCCTTATGCGTTATTATTTGGGACAAAGAGGGGCTTCGTTCCTTATGTATCGTTCCTTAGGTCAGGCCGATCACTGTAGGCCTGCCGACCCTCGCAGCCCGCTCCCGGGAGACTGCGCGGTCTCCCCCGCGGGAGTTGCACAGGCTTCCGAGGCTCCTCGCTTGTCTGGGGCGTTCCGTCCGGAACTCGTCGGATGTATGTCGTCCTCAGGACGAGAGTTAGGGCGACATGTGGACGAAGGGTTGACGAGGCGTGGTCGACAGCTGGACGGCATTTGGTCGAGTCGGGGGGGGGAAGTGAGAAGGGGCAGGCCCTCTCAGGAGGCGGGCGACGGGGCTTCTCAGAAGCCCCCTCGCGCTTTCCGTCGAGCGTTCTGCGCTTGCGGGGAAGACTTTTGGAAGACTTCTCAGAAGGCCTGAGGCTGCCCGGGCCTTTTGAGAAGGCCCCACCCCCTCCGATTTGTTCCCCCTGTGGCCCGCCGCCGATTCCGAGCCAGCCCCCGGGAGAGCTGCTCCTCGCCGCTCACCGCCAGGGGCCGTGCAGGACTTGCCGCGGCCGGTGCAGGTTGCCCCGAGAGAGAGCTCCCTCCTCCCTCCTCCTCTCCTCCCTCCTCCCTCCTCCCTCCCCCCCCCCTCCTCCTCCTCCGACGTGCTCGCAGGTCCGCGCGGAGGTCTTGGAGCTGCGGGTTGAGCCCCATGGGCGGCACCTCTGCCGTCGCACTGCGCGTGCTGCGCTTACCTCGGAGGGGAGCCCAGCTCCGATCCAAGAGTTCCGCGCGAGCCTCCGCAGGTTATGGTTTTTGTGTAGAGCTGTCCTCTAGCCTCGGGGGGGGGACAGAGCCCCCAACAGTGACACGTCGATTAGGGAGTTGTCCGTTTTCGGTTCTCGAGAGGGTGCCGTGGCCGTTATTTTCCAGGCTTGCGCCCGCCAAGTTTGGGCCTCAGGTCGTTTTCACTAAACCACGTTTTACTGAAGGGGGGTCTGTCCATCCCCGATAGCCACTTCCGTTGAACCCACTCTGCCCCATCCCGCCAAGTGATTGTCCTGATTGCCTTCGCGCTCGTTGCCACTCCTCGGTGCAGCATATTGGCCGTCAGACATGGCACTAGCCGCCCGGTATTCATCTCGCTCTCATTATCTTTTTCCGCACGCTCGCCTCACTGCAGGGTATAAACACGTACTGCTTCAACAAGCGGTTCCTCATCTCCGACATGCCTGGTCACAGCGAACGGGTCGCCTGGGCTATCAACGTGTTAGCATTGCTGGAAGTCAATGGCCTCACATGCGTGATTGGATGGCCTGGTCCTCCAGGTTCCACGGTCCATGCCATGACTCTGGAAGGTGGAGGTCCTTAGGACCCGATTGGTCTGAGTCACATTCGGTTGGGATCTGTCACGGGTTGACGTTGCATTCGTGTTGGTTTCTTTGGGCGAGTCCAGATTTGAGTTGACGTGCGCCGAAGGCGTGCGCCAGCAGCCCCGCGGTGCGAGCAGTAAGAGACGCCTCCAGACACCCCGTTCGCCATCGTTGAGCCCAGCCAATCGTATCCTCAGAAATGCTGGAGCGTCTGTGAGATCAGCCTAGATCCCCGCCCCATCTTACCCCTCCTCGTTCGTCGTTATCTTCATCATCCTCCAACCTCCTCGTCTCCTCTTCTTTCCTCATACTCGTTTCCCCCCATCCTCGCTTCTCTGTCCTTCCACAGCTGGGGGGAGGTTCATTGAGTGGAACGAGTCAGGTCCTCGTCCTCTCCTCCTTGCTCCTTTTCGTCATGTTCTCCCTTCTGCTGCCCCTCCTCCCCATCCATCTCGTCCGCTTCTCTCCTCCCCTGTCTTCCCCTGTCTTCCCCTCCCCCCGCCTCCTCCCCTTGGAAACAACATGCACATGGGCCTCAGTCTAGCAGGCCGGAGGCAGCAACGGAGCCTCCTCGCAGCGGCCACCAGGTGGCGGGCGGGGAGGAGGAGGAGGAGGAGGAGGAGGAGGAGGAGGAGGAGGAGGAGGAGGAGGAGGAGGAGGGCGGAGGAAGGCGGCCAACGGAGGGGGTAGAAGGGAGGCGGAGGGAGGCGGCGGAGGAGAGGAGGAGGAGGAGGAGGGGGAGGAGAGGAGGAGGAGGAGGAGGAGGAGGAGGAGGAGGAGGAGGAGGAGGAGGGAGGAGGAGCAGGAGGGGAGGAGGAGGAGGGAGGAGGAGGAGGAGGAGGAGGAGGAGGGGAGGAGGAGGGGAGGAGGAGGAGGAGGGAGGGAGGAGGGAGGAGGGAGGAGGAGGAGGAAGGAGGGAGGAGGATGAGGAGGCGGAGGAGGCGATGAAGGAGGGGAGGAGGAGGAAGAGGAGGAGGGAGGGAGGAGGGAGAGGAGGAGGAGGGAGGGAGGAGGAGGAGGAGGAGGAGGAGGAGAGAGGAGGAAGGAGGGCGGAGGAGGAGGAGGAGGAGGCGGAGGAGGCGGAGGAGGGCGGAGAAGAGCGGACAACAAAGGAGGGAGGAGAAGGGAGCAAAAGGATGGCGGAGGAGGGCGAGGAGGGCAGACAACAGAGACGGGAGGAGGGAGGAGGTGGAGGAGGAGGAGACGAAGGAGGAGGAGGAGGACGACGACGACGAAGACGAGGGAGGAGGGAGGAGGGAGGGAGGGAGGGAGGGAGGGAGAGAGGGAGGGAGGGAGGAGGAGGAGGTGGAGGAGGAGGAGGAGGAGGAATAGACGGAGGAGGAGGAGGAGGAGGAGGAGGAGGAGGAGGAGGCGGAGGAGACGAAGGAGGAGGGAGGAGGAGGAGCAGGAGGAGGAGGAGGAGGAGGAGGCGGGAGAGGGGGAAGACGCAGGTCGCTCCACTAGGAACCGCGTGCTGCCGCGTCGCTTCGATATCTGGGATCGCCTCTCTCCCCCCATCGCCCTCACTTCTTGAAGGGACCCAGGAACACAAATAGGCACAAATGCCAGGATTCCTAAAACATGTTCAATTATTATTATTTTTCGGGCGTAGCCCGAATTTGTTTCTCGCGAGGTAAACTGGAGTGAAGTGAACTGAACTGAACTGACCTGACTGGTCGGACTCGTTACGCGACGGTTGTCTTATGGGCGTTTGAAGGCGCAACCTATGGCGCAACCAAGAGGAAGCGGTGTTATTCTCGGTCGCCGAGGGCGCAACCGATGGCGCAAGCGATAGGAGGCGGTTCTATTCTCGGTCGCCGAGGGCGCAACATATGGCGCAACCGATAGGAGACGGTTTTATTCTCGGCGGCCGAGGGCGCAACCGACGGCGCAACCAAGAGGAAACGGTGTTATTCTCGGTCGCCGAGGGCGCAACCGATGGCGCAAGCGATAGGAGGCGGTTCTATTCTCGGTCGCCGATGGCGCAACATATGGCGCAACCGATAGGAGACGGTTTTATTCTCGGCGGCCGAGGGCGCAACCTATGTCGCAACCATTAGGAAACGGGTTTATTCTCGGCCGCCGAGGGCGCAACCTATGGCGCCACCGTTGGGAGATGGTTTTATTCTCGGTGGCCGAGGGCGCAACCTTCGGCGCAACCAATAAGAGACGGTTTTATTCTCGGCCGAACAGGGCGCAACCTATGGCGCAACCGATAGGGAACGGTTTTATTCTCTGCGGCCGGTGGCGCAACCTCGAGTGCAACGGGAGACGGTTTTATTCTCGGCCGCCGAGGGCGCAACCTATGGCGCCACCGTTGGGAGATGGTTTTATTCTCGGTGGCCGAGGGCGCCACCGCTGGCGCAACCGATCGGAAACGGTTCTATAATCGGCCACCGCGGCCGCAATGTATGGCGCAAGCAATCGGAAACGGTTGATGGTGCAACCTATGGCGCAATTGAGAGGAGACGGTTCTATTCTCGGTGGCCGAGGGCGCAATTTTTGGCGCAATCGATAGGGGACGTTTTTATTTTCGGCCGCCGAGGGCGCAACCTATGGCACAACCGATAGAAAACGGTGTGATTCTCGGCCGCACAGGGCTCAATTTATGGCGTAACCGATAGGAAACGGTTTTATTCTCGGCGGGCGAGGGCGCAACTTCTGGTACAACCAAGAGGAAACGTTTTTGTTTCTTGGCCGAACAGGGCGCAACCTATGGCACAACCGATAGGAGACGGTTTGGTTCTCGGCGGCCGAGGGCGCAACCTATGTGTGCCCCTGTTACGACCAGGACGCCGTCAACCCTTTCACCGTGCTGGGGGCTCGCGAGTAGTACGAGGACGAAGCCTGGGCATCCAAATGCGTGCAGGGCTACGCTCGATTTATGCTCGCCGTTTTGGCTGGCGGTGGGGCCCAAGCGGCGAGCTGTCTTATGATTCGTCCTCCCCATCTTCCTCCCATATTTTTTCATACTTTCCTGCAAATCGACGTTGATTCGTTTGTGTGTGTGTGTGATAATTGTTCCCTCCTGATCTCTGTACCCCCCTCTATACATGCCTCTCGTGTGCTGGCAAGATGTATTTCCATATCCACTGCATCTGGGGCTCGGACGCCAGGGGGCCGAGGAGCACTGGATGGGGATAAGCATCTGGCCCTTGGGGGCCGGAGGTTCATCCATACCCGCTGCGCCTCGGGTTTCTGGGCAAGCGAGCTCGAAATCACCAGATGCAGTGGATGTTCGACGGCGAGCAAGGGGGGGAATTGAGAAGGAGAAGGCCTTCTCAGAAGGCGGCGGGACTTCTCAGAAGCCCCCGCGCCTTCTGAGAAGTTTTCTCTGTCTTCGGGGAAGGCTTGGAAAGCTTCTCAGAAGCCCGGGGGACCTCCGAGCCTGAGAAGGCTCGCCCCTTCTCCCTTCCCCCCCTGGCTCGCCGCCCCCCGGGGGCCGGAGGTTCATCCACATCCACTGTGCCTCGGGTTTCTGGCCAACACACACACAGAGCCGCGCCTGGACGGCGCATCGGCAGGAAAACTGGCTACGTGAAACACGTGTGCATTAGAGCGGGGTTCGTGCAGACGCTCCCCTGCAGTGCCTCGGAAGCGTACGCTGGAATTCTTTGCCCCAGCGAAGCGCGAAGGTATGCTACAGTGCGCCGGAGGAGGAGGTTTCTGGGCAGGGGAGCTCGAAATCACCAGATGCGGTGGGTGTGGACACGGCTCTCTCCCCGCAGGAGGCTCCCCAGAGAGCCGAAGTCCCCGGCGCACGGGCGCCTGCGGAGGCCCTCTCGGAGGCCTGCGGGGGCCTGCGGAGTGCCAGCGCCGCCCCAGGGCATCGGCCCTGGAGCGCACCGGTCATCGCTACCATTATTGCGGAGGAAAAGAAACACACAGACACAATGAATCGTCGATTCCCCAGAAAATATTGGAAAATATGGGAAATGGGGGGGAAGACAGAAGCCCAGAAAATATAAGAAAATATGGGGAATGTTTTTATTTTTGTGTGTGTATTTATTTGTGTGTCCTTGGGCCCTTTCAATTATCTTGGTATCGCTCGGACGTGTGCGCTTTTTCTTGGCGGGGATCATTCAGGAGCATCCCGGAGCATCCCGCGAACAAAAGCCACGCACGAAACCGAAAAAAGCACAGGGAATGGACGTCCGAGCGACGGGGAGTCATACACAATATGAGTGTACAGTCAACGCGCCGAGCAAGGGCGCGCGCAGTCATCTAGGGTACCCTTACGTCCTTGCCTCTGCGGCTGGTCCCTGGCCGTTGTCACTGGTCGCCCGTCGCCCACAGAACCTGGATTTCGGCCTCCGAGGGTATTTCGTCCTTACCACCCGTCCTTAATACGCGTCTTGATTTCACCATGACGCAGTATGCACATACTCCTCTCCTCTCTCCCCTGACTCCTCCTCTATCCCCGAACTCCGTCCGGAAGATAGCCGGCCATCTCCCCTTCGTATTTTTGTTCACCAGAGTGGGAACATTATTGTGTTTCGTATGTATGATGAATAATCCGATTGTTTGCGGTGTTTCAGGACTGTGTCTCAGCTGCAGCGCAAGCCTCACTTTCGGCTCGGCACGCTGGCCCCGTCGTGCAGCATGGCGTTCTCGCCCAAGCGCGGGCCGCTATTGGATCCGACCGGGTCATTTTGCACGGATGCCACCCCCTTTCAGTTCCCCTCCTCCGCCTTCCCCCTGGTGCTCCTGCGCCTCGCGCTCCTTCCACCACAGCAGCTGCTGCTGCTGCTGTTCGTTCTCGTCCTCCTGTTTCTCGTCCGCCTCCTTTTCCACATGCTAGTCCTCCTGCTCATCCGCCACCTCCTCCTCCTCCTCCAAGGTACGTGGCTTTTGTTCCTCCGATTGCGCATTACACGATGGGGTCTTCTTTGGAGTTCCAGGTCCGCGATGGGGTCTTCTTTGGAGTGCCAGGTCCGCTACGACACGCATCGGTGGATAGAGCAAGCACAGCGCAGTGGGAAGAGATGAGTGGGAGGCGCAGGATGTCATATCTGTCCTTATCGTCGCGATCTTGTGTTTCGTTTCGCATGTTTGATTGGCAATCCGATTTTTTGGGTGATTCAAAAGTGTGTCCCCGCTGTAGCGCGCGTTGCATGACGTTGGTTCTAATCAGCGCGTTGTCCCGTTGGCGCGTTGGTCCCGTCGTTCAGCATGATGTTCTCGCCCAAGCGCGGGCCTTTTTGTTGCTTTGGTCCGAATCATTTGTAATCGGTGTCGCCCCCCTCATTTCCCCTCCTCCGCCTTCCCCTGGTCCTCCTGCTCCTCGCGCTCCTTCCACTCCAGCTGCTGCTGCTGCTGCTGCTGCTGCTGCTGCTGCTGCTGCTGCTGCTGCTGTTCGTTCTCATCTTCCTCCTTTTCCTCGTCCTCCTTCTTTTTCTCCTGCTCATCCTCCTGCCCACCCGCCACCTCATCTCCCAATGCATGCGGCCCTGTGCTCCCCGCTTGCGCATGGCACGATGGGGCCGTCTCTGGAGCCCCAGGTCCGCTACGGCACGCGTCGGCGGACAGCGCAAGCGCGGCGCAGCGGCATTGGGGTGAGCGGGACGTGCAGGATGTCGGATGTGGCCCTTCTCCGCGTCGTGTATGGTTCCACCAGATTGCAAAAAACGTGCCTCGCTGCGCACGTTTGCTACTGCAAACCGTGCCTCGTGGCGCACGCTTGCTACTGCAAACCGGGTTTCGTTGCGCACGTTTGATTCGCAACGCGAGCCGCGTGCCTTGCTTTTCCGGCGTGCATCCCCCTCCGCGGCGCGGGCTGGCGTGCCGGATCGGCGCGCGGCCCTCGTCGCTCAGAACGGCGTCCTCGCGCCCCGGCGCGGGCCGCTTGTGCTGGACCCGAAGCCTTTTTGTCGGTTGTGTCGCCCCTCGTTTTCCCTCCTCCGCCTTTCCCTCCTCCTCCTCCTCCTCCTCCTCCTCCTCCTCCTCCTCCTCCTCCTCGCGCTCCTTCCACTCCAGCTGCTGCTGCTGCTGCGGCTGCGGCTGCGGCGGCGGCTGCGGCTGCGACTGCGGCTGCTGGTGTTCGTGTTCGTCCTCCTCTTTCCTCGTCCTCCTCCGCTTCCTCCTGCTCATCGTCCCGCTCGTCCGCCTCCTCCAGTAATGTCGCGGCTCTTTCTCCCCGATTGCGCATGACACGATGGGATTGTGTTTGGATTTCCAGGTCCGCCTCGACACGCGTCGGGAGATAGAGAAAACGCAGCGCAGTGAGAAGGGATGAGTGGGAGGGGTAGGATGTCAGGTATGGCCATCTCCGCGTCGTGTGTCTGTCCCATCGGATGTCAAACATCGTTTATTTGGCATTTTTGATGAGCAATCCGAGTGCGTTCGATGCTTCAAAAGTGTGTTCCCACTGCAGTACGGGCCTCATGTTCGGATTGGCGCGTTGCTCCCGTCGTTCAGAATTACACTTTCGCCGCAGCGTGGGCCACTGTTCTGGATCCGAGCAATTTTTTCATCGGTGTCGTCCCCCTGAGTTCCCCTCCTCCGCCTTCCCCTGGTCCTCATGCTCCTCGCGCTCCTTCCACTCCAGGTGCTGCTGCTGCTGCTGCTGCAGCAGCTGCTGCTGCTGCTGTTCGTTCTCGTCCTCCTTCCTCGTCCTCCGCCTTTTCCTCCGGCTCATCCTCCTGCCCATCCGCCACCTCCAGTGTATGCCGCTCTTTGCTGTTCCGATTGCGCATCACACGATGGAGTTTTCTTGGGAGTTCCAGATCCACTACGACGCGCTTCGGCGGATAGAGCAAACGCAGCGCAGTGGGAACTGATGGGTGGAAGGGGTAGGATGTCAGATATGGCGCGAGCGCTCTTGACTTGCCTCCCTCCTCTCTCATCCCTCCCTCGTTGCCGGCCTCCTTTTTCTGGCTGGGTCCAGGGCACTTGCTCGCAGGCAGGTTGAATCCCCAGAACGGTGAGACACCCACTCCGACGTCCACAGCAGCCTCCCCGGTCAGTGCGGGGCGGTCGAGAGCGCCTCTTCGGGTAGGTCGTCAGACGACCTTGCATCTCGCAACGGGGTGCACTCCACTCAGCTCGTCGCGCCCGCCTCCCCAGGAAGTCCGACGCCGCGGGCCCTCGCAGGCCTCGACACCTTGTCTTCGCGGCCCGCCCCTCAGTCCCAGCGTGCTTCGACCAGCCTCGCACATATGTCAGTGTGTGTGTGCGTTTCTGGAGGCGAGTTTGACGGCCAACGCGGGCCTCGCTTAGACGCGGGCCTCGCTTTTTCTTTGCCCAACATCCACACCTCAGGAGGAGACAAGGATGAGGAACACAGGGAATAGGAGGAGTAAAGGAGGGGAAGAAGGGTGAGGGGAGAGGAGGAGGAGGGGGGAGGAGGAGGAGGAGGAGGAGGAGGAGGAGGAGGAGGAGGAGGAGGAGGAGGAGGAGGAGGAGGGGAGGCAGGCGGAGGCGGAGGTGAAGGCGGAGCAGGAGGAGGAGAGGAAGATGAGGAGACAGAGGAGGAGGAGGAGGAGGAGGAGGAGGAGGAGGTGAGGAGGGAAGGAGGGGGGAGGAAGAGCAGGAAGGCCTCAGCGTTCGGTCGCTCCGGCGGAGCTTCCCCCCCAATCCACCCCCCGAGGTTCTTCAGGGGAGAGAGGGGTGAGGGGACGGGTGAGAGCGCGGGGAGGGCAGGATGGATCGGATCGACTCGGCGGGGGGGGAGCGTCGCGCTTCGCGGCGCCGTCTGGGGCCACTTGGGCCTCAGGTGCCGAGCTTTCGGCTCGAAAGCAGTCCTTCGGCAGTGTTGACGTCACGCCCGGGCAGGCAGCCACCATAAGCACCGCGGCCCCAACCATTCCACCCTGGAGAGCAGGACGGAGGAAGGAGGGGAGGAAGCTGAGCGGGAGGAGGAGGAGGAGGAGGAGGAGGAGGAGGAGGAGGACCATCGAGGAAGCGCAGGCATGGACTGAGGCGTGTGGGTTAGCGACGCGTCCCGCTTCTATCGCGAATCGGCTAGCTTCGTCACCCAGGCAGGCGTCGTTCGTTGGCGCCACGTTTCGGGAGGTCCGGTCCCCGATCCGTGGATCCTGCGCCCGGGGGGAGGAAGAGGAGGCACTGGAGGAGGAGCAGGGGGGCGAAGAGGAGGACGAGCAGGAGGAGGGAGGGGGATGAGGAGGAGGAGGGAGGGGGAAGGAGGAGGGAGGGGGGAGGAGGGAGGGGGGGGGGAGCTGGGACGGGGACGGGGACGGGCGAGGGCGAGGACGGGGCAGGGGCCCCCGCCGGCCCCGAGCGCCCGCGCAGAACCTCACGGCGAGGCGCGGGGCCATGGCCTGCTGGACCTGGGACCGCTACAGGCCGCTCGCGCGCGTGCGGCCCCCCCGGCGGGGGAGGGCCTGCGCCCATCGGTCGGGGCTCAGGAGACGGGGGTCAGCGCAAGCGGGGGTCAGCCAGGGCACCAGATCCTGCAGGATCCTGCGAAGGCCCGCTCTGGCTGACCCGTGTTAGCGAGCCGCTCGTGGCCGCGAGGCGGCCGCGCCTATTGGCCGACCCGGGTTTGCGAAGACCTGCGTTGCAGTTTTTTTCTGCATTGCAGTTTTTGGTTTCCTGCTGACCCGGGTCTGGATTGACCGGGGTCAGAAGATCCCCGACATCGGTCGTTGAACCGCCGAGCGCGTTCCGCTACTCGCAAAGTGCGTACTCGCAAACGTCAAAAAACACATGTTTGCCGTTGACGTACTTTATGGTGGATCCCCCGCGGGGGATGCAGGCAACTTGCGAACAGTTACTTCGCGAGTAGTGGGATGCGCTCGTCGATTGAAAGTAGGCATTTCTGGATTCCCAGATTTCAGTCTACAGTGGAAGCCCATGCCACGAGACACCTCGCTTGCCTCCAGGGTGCCTTGGGTGTCTTTGGTTCCGATGGCTCCACGATGGGGAACGTGACGTCCCAATACCAAACATCAAGGGACATCCTGGGGTCTCAGGGTTGGGTTTCTTGTGGAAGGTTTCTTGTGGTCGAGCTCCTACTGTACTTTAGGCGCCTTCCTACTTCAGTGATCGAGTGGCTTCACCTTCTCCGTCCTCCCAGAGGGGCGGGCGGAACCCAATCTGCTCTCCACGCCTTCCTACTGCGTGCTTCTACCCACCTTGTCCGACCGAGGGAAATCTCCGGGCGTTGCTCGGATCTAGTCCTCCTCGATGGGGTCGGAATAGATGGGGTCGGAGGATCGTGCCGCATCGCCGATGCATGGCCGATGCGGCTCGATGTGGAGCCCGATTTGCTTCACGTCGATGTCGCCGATCCATCAACGCCGTCGACGATGTATCGCCAGTGCATCGCCGATGCATCGGCGACGCGGCGCGATCCTCCGACACCATCTAGTCCGACCCCATTTAGGAGGCCTCTACACGAGTGCCCCTGGCCCAAGATGCCGCCAGGATTGCCAGTGATCAAGCAGTGGCGGAGCGTCCTATCTTGCCGAAAGGCCCACCAACGAACGCACACCAACGAACGTTCTGAGACCCTCCTGTGTTTTGCGCGAGATGTAACAGTTCTGGCTGAGAGCGTCTTGGTTTCATACATCAGGTTTACGTTCTGAGAACATTGCTATTGTCAGTCGAACCTATTTGGGTTCTAAGAATGTTTCGTGGTAGGACTATAGGAATGCCGGGACGGTCGGTGCCTGATCATAGATCCGGGCGGTCTGGTGTGATGCATCGCACATTTGCAGAGAAGACCCTCGTTCCTAATGTTTCTGGCCCTTCTATTTTCGGTCCTCTCCCAGATGGTTAGGTGTCCTTTGATTTTGTCAATCGCCCACGGCCTTCAAGGTCGGACGGGGCCAGGGCGAAGATGAATCTGTTCCGGATCGTTCTGGGAGCGTGCCGAAGCGCTCCGAGAAGGCCGCGGCGCTCGAGGCGTCTTCCAGAGCCGCCCAAACTCAGATACTCTCGGCGTATCCTCTCCCGATGTTGTCTTCGTTCTGGCTCCGTCTTATCCTGGCGAAGGCGCAGGCGATACAGTGAGCAGCTTGGATAAGGAACAGTTGCACTTCTCAAAAAGGGGCTCGGTCGTTCCTTAGGCTTGCATGCGTTATGTATCGTTCCTCATGCGGTATTTATTATTTAGCGTTCCGCATTCGTTATTCCTAAGAAAAAAAAGGGGACTTTTTGTGTGTGGAGGGCAAAGGGCGAAATCTGAAATGCCGCTCCGACGTTCCGATGGATTTTCGAGGCTTGAATCTGCAAGAGGTGAATCACAAGACGGATAGACTTTCGAGGTGCAAGCGCCTACGTAGATTTTACCCCGAGCCCCCCACCCTCAGAAGAAGATGCTCAGAAAAGGGGCCTCGTTCCTTTATTCCTCGCTCCCTGGGCCAGGCCGATGACTGTCATCCCTCCGCTCCCTCGCCCTCCCAGCAGCTCCCGCCGGACAGCGAGACGGGCGACGGCCGCCGCCGCCCCGGGGCCCACGGGCGACCGACCGGCCGACCGGCCCCCGGGGGCCCACGGGCGCCAGGTCTTGCTGTTGCTGTGTCGGGCATGTCCCTCTTCAGGAGGGATGGCCAATCAAAAAATTAGTCCGGGGACGATGTTTGGGCTATGTTCGAGCATTTGGGGAGGTTTTTTTGGTTGTGGGTAGTTTCAATGTTTCGCCCCCCAAGGTCCCTCTGGAGGGGGACAGGCCCGACCTAAGTCGTGCTATTGCATTTTCTCTTTGGGATGCTGAACATGATGTGCCATGACGCCAACATCGCAGAGCGGATTTCGTTCGGAAAACAGTAGGTTGGGCCCGGAGCGTCCTGGAGAAAGTCGCTTGGGATTTCGAAGTGAATTGTCTCGTTTTTTATGGCTGGGAATGACAACTGAAAAGCATCCACGCGAGATTCACTTCGTTTTTCGCTCGCCGTTTTGGGGTTCTGCGTTGGCAGAAATGCACGCAAAAATCCCCCGGTTCACGTCTGCAAGGTCGGTGCAGTGAAATGTGGAGGGGCCAAGTTGGCCGCACGCTGCTGCATAGCAACCGGTGAGTAGCGGTAGTACCCATCGGTCGTTGCAAGTAGGTATTTTTGGATTCCCAGATTCCAATATACTTTCAGCGCCTTCCTACTTCAAGAGTCGAGTGGTGTTTCCCTCTTCCTTCCTCTGCAGGAGGCGGGCGGAAACCCAATCTATTTCCAACGCCTTCCTACTTCATGTATGGGTACCTTTCGGCTCCCCCAATCTATTTCCAACGCCTCCCCAATCTATTTCCTACGTCTTCCGACCGATGGGTATGGGTACCTTTCGGCTTCCCCAGCCGGGGCGCCCGGCGGTGCGCCCGACGCGGCTGCCGGGCCCTCGGGGCCCCGAGAGCCAGGAGGGAGCCCCCGGGCGCGAGGCCATCGGCACTGCAGTTTCTCGGGAGAGGAAGAAACACACAGACACAATGAATCCTCGATTCCCCAGAAAATGCGGGAAAATATGGGCAGTGGGGGGGAGGACAGAAACCCCGAAAATGTGGGAAAATATTGGGAATATCTTTATTTGTGTGTATTTATGTGTGTGTGTGTGTCCTGGGGCCCTTTCAGTTTCCCTTGCGTGCAGGATATGATGTGGAGGGGCCAAGCTGGCCGCACGTTCGCCACAGACCACAGGTGGTGGAGAGGCATGGGGCAGGAGTTGCTGCCGTCGGCGAGTTCCCTACTTACCAGCCTCGAACGTATCCCTATCCCTAAGATTGGCGCACCAAAAGGCGATGACAATCTTAGGGATTCGCCCTCAAAAAATAAAGGGAATCCCCAAGATTAGCATCGTGATGAGGGGGTGCCCAGCATAGGGATAGGGATATGTTCCAGGCTGGTAAGCTACGAGCGCTGCCATTTCGGGGGGCGCGGCGGCGCAGTCCGCCCAATACCCCCGAGGGGCGCGCGCTGCGGCGCGATGGTGGCGGTTCGTTGTCAGGTAGGGAAAACACACACACAGACACAATTTATCGTCGACTCCAAGGAAAATATGAAACATATGGGAGTTGGGGGGGAAGAGAGAAACCCAGAAATGATGGGAAATATTGGGAATCCTGTCATTTGTGTGTATTTGTTTGTGTGTCCCAGTTCCCCCTCATGTTGGTCCGCTCGCTCGCCGCACCCCTGAGGCGGACGTCGGGGCGCCCTGGCGGTGCGCCTCCGACGCCGGAGGAGGCAATAGGAGCCCATATCAACCAGCCTGGAACAGGTCCCTATCCCTGTGCTGGGCACCTCCTCATCACGATGCCAATCTTAGGGATTCCCCTATTTTTTTTGAGGGCGAATCCCTGAGATTGTCATCGCCTTTTGGCGTGCCAGTCTTAGGGATAGGGATACGTTCGAGGCTGGTAACATATGCCGCTGCCGTGCCCTCCGTGTCACCTTTTTTTGGCCGCCCCCTTGGGAGGCCCTCGTCGCCATCGCCGGATTCGCCCTGGAACCCTCGTGAGAACGCACCCTGGTGAGAGGTCCGGGGAGTTTTGCGGTATGGGTACCTCTCGGTTTCTCCCGTCAGGGCGCTTGGCGGTGCGCCTGACGCGGCCGTGGTGGCGCGTTCACTTGCTGGGCCACCCGCCGCTGCGAGACTTCGGACTCCCGTCGCCCTTGGGGCCCACTGCGGGGGGCTGCCGGGGCTTCCGCGCCCCAACTGCCAGGTTCGCGGGGGCGGGGCCCAAGGGCCGGCCACGTGGCGTCCAGTTTGCGTTTGCCGTCTCTGGGTCTCACGCTCTTCGGGGGTCATCGCGTAATCTCCGAGAGGCCACTCGTGCCAAGTCTCCCGCAGTTGCGGAGAAGAGTGAGGGGGCACACGAGGGTCGCGGGCGGGTCGCGGGCGAGGAGGACGACAACAACGCAGTGCAAAGCGACCGGCAGAATCCGCGCCGCGGGATCACATTTCCGCGACGCACCCCGGGATGGTGTAAGACCGTTCGGCCCCCTCGCTCTGATTTTGTTTGAACTGCGTTGGCAAAGCCTTGGCTAGGTACCCCTCCATTCCGATGTGCTTCTGCAAAATCCATGCCATGGGATAGTTCAAGGGGTGGGGGGGGAGCCTTGGCCTGTAGTCATTTGAAGGCCAAGTGTCTACCGCGGATGCCCTCCGCCCCCCCACGCGGCGCGGCGATCAGGAGCTGCCGCACTCTCAGTATTTAGTCTCGCGGTTCTCTTGCATATACGGCGGACGCACTTGATCTGCGGGTTCTCGCCCTCTTTTCGTCCTGATGTCTCTCCCCTCGCCTCTCATTCCCGCCCCCGTTCTTTCCTCCCCTCCAACCCCCCCCTATCCTGCGATTGGCTGGTGGAGGGCGCGGGGGCGGGAATCAACAGTTCCGAACTCTTCGGGCACAGTCCCTCATCCGCGCTATGCCGCATGTTGAAGGCTCCAAAGACAGTCAACGTTGTAACCTTCAGTACGCTTGATTGGCGGCGCTTCGCGTAATCATCCCCACCAGCATTTCCAGCAACGTACATCGGATCTTTGCATTGAGAAGGGGGGGTGAAAGAACATCAATCAAGCAAAGAGGGGAGTGCCAGCCAAGCCAAGGGTCGAGTCAGCCCAAGTAACCTCGGAAAGTCCAGAGGTCCTCTAAGAGGGGGGCTTCTGTGCCGTTTCGGAAGCCGTGCTGGAAGCGATCGGCACCCGGAAAAGGTGGACTTTCCCATTGCGCCCCGCCTTCGCACCCTGACAAATCTTCGCTCTGCGCCCTGCTGGCTGGGACTCCTAGCTCACCCGCAGAGGCCAAGACATAGACATAGTTGCGCTTGGCAGCCTGGTCCAGATAATTGCATTTCTCCTGGGGGTGGTGCGATAGTGCCCAAGGCACTTGCGCTTCACAGGGCGCGAAGCACGAGCTGGACATTGGGGATCTCTTGGGGCCGTTGCGGGCAATCTGGATGCCGCGGAGGCCCTTTCGGAAGTTCGACATGGGAGGGGGCGAACATTGAACGACCACATGCTTCTTGAATATTCAGGCAGCCTTGGGGGGCCGGGGGCTACCTCAGAGGGCCTCCTTGGAAGCGATCGGCACCAGGAACGGTGGACCATCCCATTGCGCCCCGCCTTCGCACCCCGACAAATCCTCGCTCTGCGCCCTGCTGGCTGGGACTCCTAGCTCACCCGCAGAGGCCAAGACATAGGTGCGCTTGGCAGCCTGGTCCAGAAAGTTGCCTTTCTCCTGGGGGGCGGCGCGACAGTGCCCAGGGTACTTGCGCTTCACAGAGCGCGAAGCACGAGCTGGACTCTGGGGATCTCTTGGAGCCGTTGCGGGCAATCTGGATGTCGCGGAGGCCCTTCCAGAAGCTCGAGATGGGGGGAGGATAACATTGAACGACCACACGCTTCTTGAATATACAGGCAGCCTTGGGAGGCCGGGGGCTACCTCAGAGATACCATGGGGCCTCCTTGGTGCCGCGGCGGTCGTCTGGAACAACGTTGGCCATGTTTCGCCCTCTGTGAGGCAATCTGGGGCTATCAGGGTCCACGGCGGAGCCATGCTTGTTACTCTTGGACACCCCAACGCCTCGCGACCATGGGTGCAGCCCTCTGGGGGAAGGGGGCAGGAGAGCAGGGATTGCTGGGCTCGATGCTGCTGCAAGCCGCCTGCGCCCAGAGGGCTGGCAGACCAGCCTCCTGTTCAGGTTTCGGCACTGCAGGGGGACTGGTTCGTGGCCAAACCAATTGTAGGACATCGTGGTTCTTGCTTTCCTGCAATTTGTTCTGCGCGAGCTCGGTGTCACAAGCAGCGGATTCCCAACATCGCCGTGAACCGACATCGCCGTTAGCGCGGCCTTGGTGACTACAGTCGGCCCGGATTAGTAGGTCGGCCCTGCCAAAACAAGGGTACCCTCGTGTTCCGTGTCTCGCGACCCATGCCTCCTACATTCCTGCGGCAGTGTGGCCCTCGGAAGGGTCTCGTGCCCTCTCGCGTGTCCTGTCCAATCGAGTCCGACTGTACTCTCACGCGCCTCCCACGGGGCACGTGGAGCCCTATCGCGCAGAGTCGGCAAGACCGGCCACACCTCTCTCCGGTTGCTCGCCCGCCGCCGTGCCGCCGACGGCGCGCGAGCGCGCAGGCCGGTGATCGAGGACTCCCGCGGGGCCGAGCCGGCGAGGGCTGGGAGTCGCAGCCGGTGGTCCGGGAAGGAGGAGAAAAAGCACACAGACACAATGAACCGTCGACTTCCCCAGAAAACATGGGAGAATCTGGGCAGTGGGGGGGGAAGACAGAAACCCAGAAATTTTCGGAGAATATGGGGCTTCCATCTATTTGTGTGTATTTATTTGTGTGTCCCAGGGCCCCTTCAGGTGGCCAGGGACGGGGGGCGAGAGATCGCGAGGAAGCAAAAAGGGATCCGAATCCGGAAGAGTCTCCTCTGTTCTCGGCTCCCTGGGGCCCCGCACGGGCTCTCCGCGGCCGTCAAGGAGAGCAATCCGGGGCGAAGGACTGGCCCAGAGGAAAGCCCCGAGGGGGGGATGATGATGATGATGAGGAGGAGGAGGAGGAGGAAGAGGAGGAGAAGGAGGAGAAGGATGAGGAGGAGGAGGAGGAAGAGGAGGAGGAGGGAGGAGGAGGGGATTCCAGGACCCGTTGCCTTGGGAGCTTGTCTCGTCCACTCAAGCCGTGGCGAAGCGTCCCGGCGTGCCTATAGCCCTACCAAGCAATGTTCCAAGAACCCGTTGTGGTTTCCACGACCTGTTCTCAGAACACTTCTGGCGGAGCCTGTCTTGTTCTATCACATCGGGTTCAGGTTCTCAGAACACTGTATTTTTTAATAGGACAGTTTGGGGCTCTAAGAACAGTTCGTGGTATAACTATAGGCATGCCAGGACGGTCGGTCCCTGCTCAAGAGAGATCGCTGTGGAGCGTACGGATCCAGATCCTGAAGAGTCTTCTCTGTTTTCGCCTTCCTGGGGCCCCGCACGGGCAGTCAAGAGGAGCAATCAGGGAGGAAAGACTGGTCCAGAGAAAAGCCCCTGGGTCCAGGACCTGTTGCCTTTTTGGAAGCTTGTCTCGTCCATTCAAGCAGGGGCGAAGGGTCCCGGCGTGCCTATAGCCCTACCAAGCAATGTTCCAAGAACCTGTTGTGGTTTCCACGACCTGTTCTCAGAACATTTCTGGCGGAGCCTGCCTTGTTTTATCACATCGGGGTCATGTTCTCAGAACCTTGTTTTTGCTCTTAGAACATTTTGGGTTCCAAGAACACTTACTGGTAGGACTATAGGAATGCTGGGACGGTCGGTCCCTGCTCAATCCATGCTGACATGACCGGGAGGTTGAGAGAGGCGCATTTCCCCAGCACCTTTTGGACGCGGAGTGGCGTTTTTTGTTGAGGGCCACTCTTGGGCACCTCCTGGGGTCAGCAATCACCTCCCCGTTTAGCTGCTCCTCCGTGAACTAGGGCGCCCCTGAGGGACGCGAAGAAAGCCGCGCGTCGCGGTCCAGGCCAGAGAGATGCCCTTCTTCAGAAAGGCGACGCGTGGGTGCGAAAGATAACCGCGCGTCGCGCATCCCGGGGCGCGATGCGCGAGCTTGCTAAGCGATCCGCCTCATGGTGCGACGGAGAGCCTTGCCGGAGCCGGACGGCGATGAGAACGGCAATGCAGGTAGAGAGAGAGAGAGAGACAGAAAAGAATACAGAGAGACATCAAAATCAGAACACGAGAAAGGAGAGGGGAAAAGAGAGAAAGAGAGAGAGAGAGAGAGAAACAACGAAAGAAACATAGAAAGAGAGAGATAGAGAGAGAGAGAGATAAGGTCGCCCGCGGGGGGGCGCCCTGGTCGGCGGCCTTGTCCGGGCCGCCAAGGCAAGTTCCCAGCGAGAGTGCCGCGAGTCGTGCCGCTCGCTCTCGCCTGCCCTCCCACCACATGAGTAATGGCACCCGAGGCTCAGGTGCAAACCGAGCGCGAGGCAGAGTCATCGCTGCCAACGGTGCGAACGGCACGCGCCCGAGCTGCACGCATGTGGATTTACCAGCCTCGAACTTATCCCTATCCTTACGATTGGCACGGCAAAAAGCGATGACAATCTTAGGGATGCGCCCTCGAAACATAAGGGAATCGCTAAGATTGGCATCGTGACGAGGAGATGCCCAGCATAGGGATAGGGATATGTTCCAGGCTGTTATGACTAGCATCGACTGCAGGTGTAAAGCAGAAATAGCACCCGAGTCTCAGCACAGGCAGGGGCCGCCATCCGCAGCCATCGGGAGCCAGTGCAGACGCCAGCCAGGCGTGCGAAGCCCGCGAGCTGCGGCGCACGTGCCAGGTGCACCAGGCGCACCACACTGGGAAGCATGTCGACCACCCCCTGCGTCGCTTTCAAAAACCAATGCAAGGTGAAGGCGGGTGTGCGAGCATTGTGCATTGTGAGTGAGTGTCACGCGGTTCCAACAGGGACCCCATGGATAGGGACTTTGAGATGGGCGATGCCGATTTCTCAAGTCCGCTCGGCTTCGCCCACAGGGTCGCCGCATGACGCTGCCACTCGCACTTCTCGAAGTCAGTCTGAGATGCGCGGTCTCAGAAGTCCATTTCGCTCGCGTCCCTTTTAGGAAACGTATCAGAGTGTGCGCCCGCAAACCTTTTGTTATTGGTTTTGACAAGGACGGCAGGCCTGGACACAGCAGGCAGAGTGCCGCCCTCACAACCCCCGCCGTCCCTGGCAACAGGGCTGGGCCTAAACGGTGTTTTTGGTGATTTCGTGGGCCGTTTTCCTTTCGACTTCGTTTTGCGGTGAAGGCGGAATCGAGACAAGAGCGAGGGATAACGGAAACAAAACGAACACGAAAAACACCGTTTAGGTTCAGCCCTGTCTGGCAAATTGAATTTCGCAGGTTCTGTTGAAAGGGATGGTGGGCCTGCACGGGGCAGGCAATATGCCGCCCCCCCCCCGCCGTCCATGTCCAGCACTTTGCAGAGTGATCGCGGGTCGACCGCGCATGATCCAGATTTTGGTGCAGAGTGCTTTTTGTATGGTTGCTGTTGCAAGGGATGGTGGGGGGTGGGGGCATTGCACACAGCAGGCAATGTGCTGCCCCCCCCCCCGCCCTCCTTAGCACAAACAGTAGAAGCTGATCGCGGGGCGCCCGCGCAAGATCCAGATTTTGGTGCGAGATGCACTTTGTGCTGTTTTGTTTGGGAAGCTGTTTGCAATGGATTGGTGGGCGCTGGCGTTGAACGCAGCAGGCACCCTGTGAACCTCCCCTCCGTCCATGTCTGAAACTATGCAATGTGATCGCGGGGCGTCCGCGCATGATCCAGATTTTTAGTGCAGAGGGATGGTCGGGGGGGATGCAAGGGATGGTCGGGGGGGGGATGGCATTGCAAACAGCAGGCGAAATGATGTCCCCCCCGCCCTCCCCGTCTGAAGCCATGCAGTATGATCGCGGGGCGCCAGCGCATGATCCAGATGTTGGTGACCATGGGTTGAGGGGTGGCTGGCATAGCAAACAGCAGGCAACATGTTGCCCCTCCCGCGGGCCCTATCCAGAACCCATGCGAGGTGATCGCTGGGGCTTCCGCGCATGATCCAGATTTTGATGCACATCGCCTATCATATTGTTTTTGTTCGCAAGGGATGGTGAGCGGTTGTCATTGGCCCGGGTTTGCCGCTGGCGGGGGTGGGGGAGGGGGGGTTATATTAATCAATACGGAGCAGTGATGAACCTGTCAGCGAAGGGGAAGAGGATGGAGGAGGAGGAGGAGGAGGAGAAGGAGGAGGAGGAGGAGGAGGAGGAGAAGGGGGAGGAGGAGGAGGAGGAGGAGGAGGAGGAGGGGAGGAGGAGGAAGAGCAGGAGGAGGAGGAGGAGGAGGAGAGGAGGAGGAGGAGGAGCAGGAGGAGGAGGAGGAGGATGGCAGAGGAGACGCTCTAAACCACCTGTGCCCAGAGGGCCAGTGGAATTCTCGCGGCGCTGAGACCCGAAGCGCCTTTTGAAAACGGCCCCCCTCCATCACTGACGCTGTTGCAGGCGTTTGAGAGGAGTGCGCGCGGCGCTACAGGGCGAATGCCACATTTGGAGAAAGCGGCCCCCCCTCCATCCTGGCAGCTGCCTCGGCGCTCAAGCTTCGGGGTCACGGATGGTGAGGATGACTCAGGCGAAACGCCCAGCCGGGCCTCCCGATACGTCTGGGGGCGCGAAAGGGAGGAGTTCATTGTGTATACAGGAGAGGGATGGGTGCGGCGGGAGGACGGGGGAGCCCTCGTGGGCCCCGGCCGCGCGCGCCCCTGGCGAAGGAGTATCTCGACACCACCAAGTGGCTCCGAGCGGCGACCGGCGCGTCAGTCCGTGCACGCGTGCCTGCACATCTGCTTCTGCTCCCGCGCCCTGGCGCCCGCGCCACGAGCAAGACGCTGAAAGCAGGAACAGTTTGGCCTCGGAGGGGGCTCGATGTTCCCAGGGCTGGACCTAAACGGTGTTTTGGCGATTTCGTGGGCCGTTTTCGTTTCGACTTCGTTTTGCGGTAGAGGTGGATTGAAGACAAAACGAGGGAAAACGAAAACAACACGAAAACGAAAAACACCGTTTAGGTTCAGCCCTGTCCTATCCCTCGTGCAAGCAGGCGCTTCTGGGCCATGTGCGGGGCTCCGTTCCTCACGTGCCGTTCCCTGTTTCAGCAGCCAGTCGCGACCAGTCGGGCACCCCTCCTGCAGGTCGGCATGCCTTTGTTCAATGGCATTGTGACGCCTACACTGCGATATGGGAGCGAAGTTTAGCCTATGACGCGCAAGGCAGTACATCAGTGCATAGGGGGGCAGCGACGGCTGCGTAGGCAGATGTTGGAGACAATGCGAAAAGTGTTCCCCTGGGCACACGCATTCTGCAGACTTTGGTTGTGCAGACATTGATAGCAACCACATTTCGAAAGGACGGTCCCTCAGACACTTCTGCGGCTACGCTGATGGAGTCCTGGCTGGAATGTTTCAAGAGTGCGACGTAAATTGTTGAAGAATGGTGTCAAGTTTTCTTTGGTGCCCGAACAGACTTGCACGTTTGAATGAAAATCGATGGGACTCGAAAGTAATGGAATGGGAGCCGCCGCTAACTAGCAAGACTTGCCGCTGTCCAGCCGGCATACAAAACACATTGTGTGTCGACGACGTCCAGGAATAGTTTCTTTCACCAGGCCTTGGCTATTCATGGTATGTGTGTGCGGCACGAGGGATTTGTGGGACCCGCTCGAAGAAGGGTTCGTCCAGAGATGAGACCAGCTAAGCCGCGCAAGCCTGCCTAGCACACGCCATCTGGCGGCCTCCTCCTCCCCCTCCTCCTCCTCCTCCTCCTCCTCCTCCTCCTCCTCCTCCTCCTCCTCCTCTGCATTCGTCATGCCTGTCTGGACGCAGTTCTTTCCGTTTGCACCGTTTCCTCTCCACAGTTGTGTGAGACACGCTTCGTTGCACCCCGGTGGCCGGGACTGCGCGTCCCGTGCGCCTGCCCCTCTCAGAGGAACGCCCCGTCGGGGCTGGTCGGACGGGCCTCGCATCGAGATACATCCTGAGTCGGGCCTGTCCCTCTACTGGAGGGATCTTCAAAAGTAGTCAAAAAATAATCCGGGGACGATGTTATTGTTTTTGTTTAGCATTTGGTTGTATATTGTTTGCTTTTTTACAGTATATCTATATTACAAACAATCGTCCAACATCCCCCTGTAGGGGGACAGGCCCGACCTAAGATACAGCCGTTGCAGAGCGTTCTAGAACGCTCTCAGAGCGTGTTGGAGCGCCGTTCTGGAACGCTCTCAGAGCGTGCTGGAGCGCTGCGGCGTCCGATGCATCCTTCGAACCCGCCGAGTCTCAGAGATGCTCGATTGATACAGGTCCGTCTTTGTCTCCGTTCTGCCTTTGTCTCAGCTGGAGTGCGGGTCGCATCGCGTCGCATCGCATACTTCAGCAGCCCGACTGTAGGGGTGGGGAGGGGGGGGGCAGGAAGCGGGGAGGAGGACGAGGGAGGAGAGCGGGGAAGGAGGCAGCGGGGGGGGGGAAGAGGGAGGACGTTAGGCTGGATAGGCTCAGGATCGGACAGATCGGAATGGGTGCGGAAAGAAGGGCCACAAAAGACCAACAGCGGTTCTTGTTCATGTTGAGCCGGTCTCGCTGTTCGGGGGCGGCAAGGGGGGGGGGGGGGCCCAGGGGGGGGTGGATATCATGGCCTGGACCATGTTATTTCCGCAGAGTTCATTGCGCCACTTCTTGTTTCATTACGTCCCATGCCTCCATCCCCCTGGGCCGCGCACAGGCCGCTGGCCATGATTTGCGCCCCCCCCCCTCTTGGAGGCCCCCTCTTGACCGCCCCCGAGCTGTGGGTGTCGCCGCGGACTGTGTCCATTGTCCCTTCGAGACAGAAGGCCGCATGCCAAGCAGCGGCCGCTGTCGGTTTTGGGCGTCATTTGCCGTTGGCCATCGTACCCATTTTTTTCCGTATCCACTCGAGAGTGTTTCTTTATTGTTTGTGGCAGAGTGGGCATTGTACACCTTATGCGATGCTTAAGAACACCTAAGTTTTCGGCCAGAGTCGCGATTATTCTTAACGTTTCAATGTAAATCCCAAGATTTTGATAGAAGTTCTGGGTTTTATTCAATTTCTGAGACTATGAATTTCTTAAACCATGATTTCTTAAGCATTTCGCAGGGTGTAGCCCCTGGCCCTCCCTCCCCCCCCACCCTATTGCGCAGCGCCCCTCCCCCCCCAGTGCGCTCCGGGCACTGCCGCCGTGCGCACGGCGGGCGGAGGCGTTGCATTACACCCCCCTGGCCCCTCCCCCCCCCCCTGTAATGCCGAAGTACAAGTACAGAAACGCGCTGTTGTGGGCGTCCAGACAGGGGAGGGGGGGCATCGACCCCCCAATCGCTCACTCTTTGCTGAGAAGGGGCGGCCTGGAGACACCACCCTGCTCGGGAGCCTGCGTGTTCGCTATCAGGGATCGCCGATCTATCGGCGGTGTATCGTCGATTTCAGGTCGATGTTTCCCCCCTGAGCCGGTCCCCCCCTCTGATCGTCACCCCTCGGGTTGGGGGGGCGGAGGGAGTGGGGAGGAGAGCGAGGGGAAGGGAGGCAGAGGGGGAGGGGAGGGGGGACCAGCTGGCCCCCCCTTGCATCGTCACCCCTCAGGAGGGGAGGGGGGGAGGAAGTGGGGAGGAGGACGAGGGGAAGGGAGGGGGGGGAGGGGGGACGGAGCCCGGGGAGGTTGAGTGGGGAGAGGAGGACTTGGGGGAGAGGAGGGGGGAAAGGGACGAGGACTGGCCAGGCAGTGGGAGGGGCGCTCTATATACACCAGATCTCTGCTGTGAAAGGGTGCTGGCGCTGCGTCTCGAGGGGTGAGGACAAGGGGGAGGGAGAAGGTACATTGGGAAGAGGGAAAAGGCGCGGGAGGGTTCTTGCGGTCGCCAGGGGGGAGATTCAAGGGGATTCGGGAGGTGAAGGAGGGAGGGACACGAGGAGAAAGGACGGATGATGATGATGATGATGATGATGATGATGATGATGATGATGATGATGATGATGATGATGATGATGATGATGATGATGATGATGATGATGATGATGATGATGCTGATGCTGATGCTGATGCTGATGCTGATGCTGATGCTGATGCTGATGCTGATGCTGATGCTGATGCTGATGCTGATGCTGATGCTGATGCTGATGATGATGATGATGATGATGATGATGATGATGATGATGATGATGATGATGATGATGATGATGAGGGTTAGGACGACGTTTCCAATGTTGAACCGATGTTGTAGGATGCATCAAGAGGGGGTGAAGCAGGATGAGCAGGGGGAGCGGGAATGGGATTGCGGGCAGGAGCGGCGGGGGTGGGAGGGGGAGGAGGAGCAGGAGGAGGAGGAGGAGGACGAGGAGGACGAGAAGGAGGAAGGCACTGACGACGACGGAGAAAGGGGGAGCATACGGGAGCAGGCCGAGGACGAGGAGGGGCGATGGGGGGCAGCAGGAGCGGGAAATCACGACGGCAAAGGTCGAGCGGGCCAGCGGGCCCCATCCCCGCTCTTGAACCGCGCTCCCACAGCATGATAGCCAACGTTGGCGCAGCTTGGTGCTGGGACCGCCAGCTGTATCGGGGGCGGCAAGGAGGGGGGTGATGCCCAGGGGGGGGGATACCATGGCGGGGGCCATGATGTTTCCCCGATGCCATGGCGCCCCTTCTTATTTCATCACGTCCCTGGCCCCCCCCGCTGGGCCGCGCACATGCCGCCGGTCATGATTTGCAACCCCCCCTCTTGGACACCCCTTTCTTGGCCGCTCCCGACTGTGAGTCGGGCATGTCCCTCTGCAGCCGGAATGTTCAAACACAGGTCCAGCAATCAGGCGGGGACGATGGTTCTGCTGCTTGTTGACCCTGTCTTTGGAGCATGTGTCCCGTACGTTTGAACTCGTCGTCCGAGGTCCGCCCTGTGGGGGACGTGCCCGACCTGACTCCCACCCGGCGCACTCCGTGAGCTCGCACCTCGGCACGCACAGACGACGACCTGCTCGGCCCGAGTCTTGGCATCGCTTGGACGTGTGCATTTTTCCTCCGGCGAGGACCCTCGAGGAGCATCCTTGCTGATCTGACGAGAACGCCACGCACGAAACCGAAAAAAAAACACAGGGAATGGACGCCCGAGCGATGGCCAGGAGTGCGGCTCCCTCGCCCCCTCCGCGGCCCTCCGCGGCCGCTCCGCGCCCCGCCTCGCCTCCCCGTGCCTCGCGGTGCTCCGGCGCGCACGCCGCCGCTTGCCCCATCGGAGGTTGACAGACCTCAGGAGGAAAAGAAACACACAGACACAATGAATCGTCGATCCCCGAGAAAATATGGGAAAATATGGGAAGTGGTGGGGAAGACAAAAACCAAGAAAATATAGGAGAATATGGGGAATCTCTTTATTTGTGTGTATTTATTTGTGTGTGTCCTGGGGCCCCTTCAAGACCTCCTACCCTGACGCCTCGAGGAGCGCATTGGCCGGCCTCGGTTCGCGAGAGGGCTCCTCGGCCATCATTTCTGCGGGTCTGGGTCCGTCGGTTTCGGTCCGGGGCCGTTTGCACGACAGGGTGGTCTGCTATAGGGAGGTCTGTCCACCGCCGACTCCAGCGCCGTCGGATCCTCTTGCGGCCGCCGATGAAGAAGTGTTCGCCTGCAGTGGGGGCCCATGCCAAGAAGCACCCTGCTTGCCTCCAGGGTGCCCTGGGTTTCTTGGGTTTCGATGGCTGTGCTGTGGAAGGCGTGACGATCCCACACCAAGAACTGATGGACGTCCTGGGGTCTGTAGGACTGTTTTTTTTTGTAGACGGATAAGAGTGAGGGGGCGCACGTGGTAGCGGGCGGGTCGCGGGCGAGGAGGACGGAAAGAACGCTTGCGCTTGTGCGCGGTCCCCCCTCCGACAACCGGGCGCGGGGACAGGGGGAAGCACGAGCCGCGCGCACGTGCGGGGCCGGATCCTCCAGAGACTTCCTCGAGAGCGGCGATGCGCGGCGAGAGCACCCCTGGAGCATGCTCGCGCGGCCGGATTTTCGAGGAGCGCGGCGAGGACGACGCATGTGTCGCGCCGAAGCAGCACCGCTTCTCCCACGCGCAACGTTCAGGAGGGGTAAAAACACACAGACACAATTAATCGTCGACTCCCCGGAAAATATGGGAAAGTATGGGAAGTGGTGGGGAAGACAAAAACCCAGAAAATATAGGAATATATGGGGCATATTTTCATTTGTGTGTATTTATTTGTCTGTCCCAGGGCCCCTTCAAACGTAAAAGGCGCTCGGGCGAGCCCGCTGTCTCTCGCCTGCCCGCGCGGGGCCCCGCTGTTGTGTTTGTCCAGCGGTGCGGAGAGCGAAGGACACGGGCCGCGCCCAGGCGGGAACGCCAACCTTCTCGCGCGAGGCCGCGCCCAGGCGGGGCCATGCAACCCTCAATAGGGGGCCAGATGCGAACCCTGCCCCTACCCCCCACGAGTTCTGAGGGGGAGGGTGGAGCTCTCTTCGCTCGGGAGCTCCCGAGCGAAGTGAACCCCACCCTCCCCCTCAGAAATCGTGGGGGGTAGGGGTAGGGTTCGCATCTGGCCACCCCCTCAAGGACAACGCAGGACAGCGCCGAGGCGAGGGCCACGTGCTGTCTCCTTCGGGCGCGACGCGCGCCCCGTCCCACTCTCGCCAGGCACTGCTGCAACGCCGGCGGCCTTTGACAACAGAAGCGCCCATGGCGAATAGGAGATCGTTGACCTCGTATCGCTCTGATGGGTATAGGCTGGACCCCACCAGATCCGGTGGTTCTGGGTTGGCTAGGTGGCAGAGCGACAGTACGCACCAGTGAGGCAGAACAGTGGCGTGGGGGTTAGGCGAAACAGAGAGTGGACATGTAACAGGAGATCACGGAAATCAGGCCAACGCATGGATGGCGGGATGCAGTGGGAGCAGGCAGTCAAAGTTCGGACTAGGCGATTTACGTGCACGACATTGGCAAGGCCGTCACATGGGAAGACAGGGAAACCGTCAAGGCGCTCCGTGATACCTTCGCTTGAGCCATTGGGGTTGCAGTAGCAGGGCATGGTACCTGAAGCGTGCATCATAGCTTGCGACACATGTGTTGTTTCCCTCTAAACCCAGCTCGCACGAGCGTGGACTAATATCTTTGTATGCCGCTGGTGGCGAGAGCATCGTCAAGAGGTCAACGTGGCGGCATCTCATGTGTAATTGCGCGGAACCTTTTTCCGTTGTTTTTGTATGTGCAGGTGGAATTGCAGACCATGGTCACGCGTCTGCGCACTTTCTATTCACGGGCTGGCTTGTCGACCATTGATTGTCCAGCATTTCGTCGCAGCGTGAGCAGTCATGATGGCCAGATGCTGAAAGAGAGAGACATTCCCACGCTGCTCGTCTTCACTAAGGACCCGCTACCGCGCCACTCGTCTTGTTGTTGCCCGCTTTGTGCAGCGCACCATCGCCGCCGCGTGTATGCTGGTTCGCGGCGGATCTTGCTCCGCCCCCTGCCATTCGCAGCCCCTGATCCGCGTCTCATGGCAGCGCCGAGGGCGGGAGCTCGCAAGGGAGCGTGCCAGAATGGTGCCAGTTGCAGTTCTTAGCCTGACGGGGGCCATCGCGCACACGGGGAGCTTGGCATCGCTCGGACGTGTGCACTTTTCCCTCGGCGGCGAGGGCCATCGAGGAGCACCCTCGATCATTTGCAAAAAAAGCGTGCACGACACCGAGCAACAACACAGGGAGTGGACGTCCGAGCGATGGCCAGGGGAAGTCCGCGGATGACGAGGGCTGAAATGCTTCCAAGAAATTATTGATTGTTGGACAGATGTCATATCCTCGGTTCTATGCATGTATCAGATTCATTAGTTAGCATATTATGCTGTTGCTAACGTGCACAGCAGCTGCTGACGGGAAGGGGGAGGGGGGCAGGGAAGGATGGGCGAGGAGAAAGGGGGGGAGGACGCCCACGGCGTCTCTTGCTGCGCGCGGGTTGGCTTAGATTCCCTCGCCAGCGCCGTCATGTTGCGTACAGCATCGTCTCCGTGAGGCGACTCAGGACATGCGATGAATTTTTAGCCATACATACTCGACTAGGTGTGCTGGCCGCGTTTTGCTAAGCTACTATCCCATGGGCCCTCCAGGAGCGATCGTTCCTCTCATACACCAGCTACCATGCATCACGCAGGCTTGGTGCATCGCGAGAGTGTTGGTGCAGCGCGTTGTCTCCGCCCGCGACATACCGGGCGAAGGTGTTATTGACGTGTGTGCGGGCTCATACCCCCATTTCCAAAATACGATTGCACGTACAGTGCCGTTTCCCCAGCGACAGAGATTTAGACACCAGTTGCAGATGCATTCGCCACGGGTAGTTTTGGTAATTGCACCAGATTTTCTTTTGTCCTTTGGCCCCATTGGCATTGCATTCGTATCAATTGCACGCGGACGTAGAATTCCAGACTTTCGCGTAACCCCACCAGCCAATCCAGAAACGATGCCCAGGCAAGGTGCCCTGATCAGTAATGTGGAGGAGCACGTAGTGTAATACAAGGAGGCTGGGGACGCTATCATACCCCAAGAGGGGGGATAATGTAGGAGGAATTGGAGGAGGAGGAGGAGGAGGAGGAGGAGGTGGTGGGCAAGCAGAGAGGCCAGAGGCCTCTTGAATGCATCTTGGAGTCTCTTCGGATGTCTCTTGAGAATTTCTTTGGGTCCTCTTGGGGCGCCTTGGGGGCCCCTTGGTGTTCCAAGGGGCCTCGTCAAGCATCTGTGCCTTTGGGGGGGCTGGCGCTTGGGGGCGCTTGGGGGGGGCGCTCGGGGGTATGACAGCTTGGGGGGGGGGGGGCGCTTGGGGGTCTCTTGAGAGCCTTTAGGGGGGTCTCCTTGGGGCCTCTTGGAGCCTCCCGGGCGTGTCTTCGGGCCTCCTTGGTGCACTCCTGGCAGGCCTGGGGGGCCCTCTCGGGGCCGGCTCGGAGGAGATCGATCAACGGAGGGGGGGTGCTGACTTAGCGTCCCCCCCTCTAGAGCCTGGGACACCGCATCTTCGACCCCTCTTAAAGCGCTCTGCGGGTGCCCTCGCGGCCGTCGTTGGGCCCTTTGGGGCTCCTCTCGGGGCCCTTTTGGGCCGTCTTGGAGCCATCTTGCAGCCTCCGAAGGCCACTGGAAGCGAAAAGGCGAGAAGGCAACACACATCGATGTTCCCGAAGCGTTTGAATGGTTCCGGCCTCGTGGTGGCTTCCTGGGTGGGCTCCGTGGCCACTGTGGGCCGCCTTGGGGCGGTCTGGGGGGCTCTTGGAGCATATCCGAAGCCATATGAAGCCATTGTGGGGATCTTCTTGGGCGTTCTGAGGCTTTCTTGGAGTTCTCCTGGGCCTTTTCGGGCGCTCTGACCGCTCGCGAAAATCCCGTCCAGGTCCAGTGGAGGGGGTAGGGGGAGGAGTCAGTCTACCCGTCGCACTCAGCCCGCCCTCCTAACACATACGTGACGCTCGAGTTTCAGCACGGGCAGGGCCGCCATCAACAACCGTCGGGGACCAGTGCGGACGCCAGCCAGGTGCGCGAAGACCGCGCGCCGCGCCGCACCTGCCAGCTGCGCCACGCGCACCAGGAACTACGTCGACCCTACCGTCCATGCCACGGCGGGCGTGTTGTGTGCGGGCCGCGCGCTTGTTACGCGGGCCTGTTGTGTGCGGGTGGTGTCACGGCGGGGCTGTTGTGTGCGTGTTCTGTGCGGGCTGTGTGCGGGCTGTGGCCATGTTCCGCCGAGTCAAAGTTGCGGCGGGCCTGTTGCGTGCGGGTGTGCGCCCACGGTCGCTCTGCACTTGATGCCTTGGCACGGGCGGTGCGCCTCGTTGCGCAGAGGGCGGTCTGCCGTCCCCCTGCCCGTCCCTGGCAAAACGAGCTTGGTGTGTTCCTTGGCATCGCTCGGACGTGTGCATTTTTTCTCGGCGAGAACCGTCGAGGACCATCGAGCAAAACAAACACGCACGAAACCGACAAATGCGCGGTACATGGACGTCCGAGCGACAGCAAGTTTCCCCTTGCTGAAAGGGGTGGGGGGCCTGCACACAGCAGGCAATCTGCTGGCATCCCCGCCATCCCCGTCAGAAATCAGGGCAATGTGAGCGCGAGGCATCCGCGCATGGTTCAGATGTTAGTGCACAGTGCGCTTCGTAGCGTTTTGGCATGGATGGATGGGGGGCGTTGCCATGTACACAGCAGGCGATCTGCTGCCCCCCCCGCAGGGCGTCCGCGCATAATCCAGATGTCAGTGCAAAGTGCACTTTGTATTGCTGTTTGCAAGGCATGGTGGATGGGGCCTTGGCCTGCGCGCAGCAAGGAATATGCCAGCGCCCTCGCCATCCTCATCAAAACCCATGCAAAGTGGTCGCGGCGCGCCCGCGCATGCTCCAGATTTGGAGGCAAGGTGTTTTTGCATTGGCTGTTGACAGGGATGCTATGGGGCGGTGTTGCTGTGGGTGCCCTCGTACGTCAGGGTGGGCTGCCGGTCGGGGGGGGGAGGGGGTGTTTCTTATCAGGAGGGGAAAAAACACACAGACACAATTAATCGTCGACTCGCAGGAAAATATGGGAAAATATGGGAATTGGGCGGGAAGACAAAAACCCAGAAAATATGGAAAAATATGGGGGATCTTTTTATTTGTGTGTACTTATTTGTGTGTCCTGGGGCCCCTTCATATTACTAGGGGGCAGTCATCTTGCCTCCCCCCCCGAAGGACGGTCGTCTCGCTCGCGCACCTGCCCGCCCTCCCGCCACAGAAGTGCACGCCGGTCGTTGCAAGCACGTCGTCTCGGACTCCCAGGTCCCAATCTGCTTCAGGCGCCTTCCTGCTTGAAGAACCGACACGCTGTTGCTGTGCTCTGTTATTCCCTGGGCGCGCCTGGACCCAATCCACTACATCCGCCTGCCTACTTCATGTTTCTACCTACTTCTGCCCACCGACGTGTAAGCAGCTCTCGAGGCTCGGCATGGACAGGGGCCGCCATCGACCACTGTCGGGGGAGCTGAAGTGCGCGACGCCCGCGAGGTGCGCCGCGCGTGCTCGGGCACTTCCGTCACCCCTTCGGATAGAAGTGCAAATTGATTGCGGGGCTCCCGCGCACCACATGTACAATGTCGTGCGCACGGCTCCTGATCCTGGCCCTCTCGATTCGGAGGAGGCCAGAGCCCGTCATTTCTATGCCATTCGCAGGGCTACACAGGCCCTTGTTGACCACTCTCGAGCGCCCTTCTAGGCGTAATCGGATGCCCTGACCTCGTTTTCCCAGGTACGAGCGATATGTGTAAAAGCGGTGGTAGGACTGCGTGCAGCAGAGAATATGCTGGCAACCCCGTCGCCCATGTCAACAAACAAAAACATGCAACATGATCGTTTGGTGTTCGCGCATGATCCAGCTTTGACCGCACCGCGCACTTTGTGATTTTTTAATTTGGGAAGGATTGTTGGGGGGTTTTGTACTTGCACACCGCAGGCACTGTGCAAGCCCCCCCGCCGTCCCTGTCAAAAGCCAGTTCAGAGTGACCGCGGGGCGTCCGCGCGCGATCCAGATGTTCTGGTGCGTAGTGCACTTCGCATTGTTGTTTGCAAGGGATGGTGAGGGGTTGTTAGCATTGCACACCGCAGGCTCTATGCTGGCGCCCCCTTCGTCCCTGTCAAAACAAAGGTTTTTGCAAGGGGTGGCGGAGGGCTGTCGCCATGGCCCCGGGTTTGTCGCGGGTCGGGTTGGGGCAGGGGGGGGTATATTAACCAGAGCCAGTGATACGCCCCTTTCCCGATTTAAAGAGGGGGAAGAGGGAAGAGGAAATTCTTTAAACCATTCACGCCCAGAGGGCTGGTGGGATGACTCAGTTTGTCGGTCTTGTTTATGTGCTCACTTATCACATGGGCTTGCTAGCAGCGCAGTGATTCTTGCAGTGCGCACGCTAGCATGCAAGCCGACTGAGCTTGGCCATGGCCGTTCAAATATTGGCTAATTAGTGTGAATGTCGCTCGGTCGTCTGATCCCTGCCCAGGGACTCGTGTTCGGGATCATGCTTCAACGTGTTCGCCGATGTGTTTCATTTGCGCGTTGTGAGTTGATCGGCGTTTCCATGTGTTGCGTCCCCGCTGCTCGATCTACACGCTCAACTGTCGAGTAGCTTGCGCTTACGACCGCGGTCTGTTCACAGTTGTGGGCCTCGCGAGGACGACAAAGTGGATTCGGACACGATGCGCCAATCTGAAGTAGAGCGCCATCGGTCAGCCTGCCTCAATCCTGCTCTCTGCGCTGGCTCTCTGCGCTGACATCACCATGACCATTGTCCAATGACGCTGCGCGCGAACCTGCCGATGCAAGGGGGAGGGGCACTTAGCGGAGGGGAGGCGTTGGGGGGGCTGGGCGGGCATG